ATTATGTACAAAAATCACAACAGCTCGCGAAAATTTTGTCTCGCTTTTAAATTTCAGATAGTTGTTTCGCGAAAATAAGGTGCCAAAATATAGTAATCTACAGTACTTAAGAAAATAGAGGTGGAACAAAAACACAACAGTATGAAAAACTGGTATGTTAACATTCTCACGTCCCCTTCATACAACAGTTTCAAAAGTAAAAAATCAGGAATTACGAACTTAGATTGTTATATTCATTGGACTCATGATAGTCCACGCATAAACGTCTTTGAGTAATTTACATGTACAATGTGTTAGTATGGTTGCAGCGGTTGAAGAAAAAAATACATAACCGGCTTTAAGCGGGGTATATAATTTTTTTCTGCAATAGCTGCAACGTTAATTCCCATACTAACAAAGAAAGACATTTTATTGTTTATATTAATGTCTGTTTCAATAATCATGTTGTATTGATATGTACGTCATTGTTTGTTTCATTGATGGAAGAGCCACTGCTAAAGAAATCTATACAGGTGGCTTGCTTAGCGGCGTTGAAGTATTGATAAATGATTGTGGTTTTTATAAGAAATGAAGGTCATGATATTCAGTGGATGTAAATATTGCATACAGAATCTTTACAAATTCAAAATGACTATAGACAAATATTTTTTAAACTAAACCCTGTCCATCTTGCCAGGATGGATCTACAGCAAAGATTCTTAAATTTTTAGAAATATATGGGTGGAATCTTTCAAAACCTACCCAGAAGGGTTTAAAAATTATGCGATTAAAATGCATATGTCATCATTAAGTGTCCTTATTAAGTGTAGGATCGATATCGGATAATTGTCCTCGTCTTTTATTTAGGCATCCGTGGGATCCAAAATTTGACCAAACAAACTTAAAATGGGCCTAGGGATTGATGTACAATGAGAAAACATGTATCTGAATAGTATTAAGTTACCCACAAACAAGAAAAACATATAACAAAGCCAGGATATTTTTTTTATTAATTACATAAATCATGCCATCTTGGTAAAGAGATGATCACAATAATGCTCTTTGAAGTAAAGAAGATTTGGCTAAAATCAAGAAAAACATTGTTCTATCAAACACAATAGAAAAAATATGTAAGGTATTTTTTTTTCTTTCTGGTATTTATAATCATAGCACATTTGAAATTTGATATTTACAAAAATGAACAAGAAAACATGCCAACAATATTTTAAGCTATCGAAGACCAACCTTTTGTCTTTCAAAAGAATGAATCATGCTATTTGTTATCGAATCATTTCTAAAATTAGTTTATGATGTAAGACCTTTTCTCATATTTTATGTATACATAAAGATTTTACATGTATACATGTATCTTGCTACAACATTTCCTATGAACAATACTAGAAATATGTCCATAGGACATGAATGCCCCGCACAGGATCCATTAGTAATACAAGAGAAAATTTGTATTAGTGTATTAAGTTTGATGAAAATACCTTGAACAGTTTCTTTGAGCTAAAAACAAATTTGAGAAAAGTGAAGTCAAGGTCAAAGAAAAGTCAAGGTCAAAATGCTGATGCCATTGAATATCTCTCATCAATACGTATAATCATATAATGCTTGATAAAAATATCTTGAATACTATCTTTGAAATTTAGCTAAACATAAAAATAAAGTCAATCTCAAACGAAACGCAAGGTCAAAATGTGTATCAACATATAAGGTTTGATTAAAATATCTTGAATAGAATACTTTTTTGAAACTGAGCTTAATACTATTTTAACTTTTTACTTTCCTTTGACCTTGACCTCACTCATCCTAAAATTTTGAAGATAAGTGAGGTCAATGTCAAAGGAAAGGCCAAGGTCAAAGAATGTTGATGCAGTTGAACCGCTCTGATCAATTTGTATCAGCATATAATGTTTCATAAAAATATATTTGAGAAATATTTAAGAAAGTGAGGTCAAGGACAAAGGAAAGATCAAGTTAAACAAATGTTGATGCATTTGAATAGCTTTCATTAATATTGTATTTTATATAAATATTTAATCTCTAATTCACAATCTGAAATTGGTAAAAATCCATGGATTGATTGTGTGCATCGTATTTTCGATTCTTTCGGACTATCAAATATTTGGAATGGACAGTTTTGTAATAGATTGGGTTACTACTGTTGTAAAGCAATGATTACAGGATCAATTTATACAAAAATGGTATGCTGACATTAATAGTTCATCCAAGGGTGTTGTGCATAAACTTTTTAGAATAAATTTTGAATGTGAAAAGTATTTAAGGAAGGATTCTTCTCTGGTTTCTGACTAGACGAAATAACCCAAGTATATTTGCTTGTATGTATTTTATACGTAGCTGGAATGTACTTTACTCATCATAATTGTACAAATTTAGATAGAAATGGTAAACTGAGTTTGAAATCCAGCAGGGACTATATTATTAGCGCAACTGCGGCGTATAAAAATATTTCCTTTTCTGCCTATCAAAATCACTTGCAGAACAATACATTTAGTTAAATTTTTTAAACAATCAAAGATTTAAAGAAATTTTGAAATTAACGAAAATTAATAAAAATGCCCTAAAACTATAGCAAATAATATTGATTTTCTAAACAAACTACAATCTTGTTAGCTTTTAAAAGCTTAAGATCTAAAAACAAATTTGAGCAAAAAATCAGTAAAAAGTGTTTTTTTTTCTCTCTTACTAAATGGTCAAAACTTTTTGTTTTCATATCATTTTGTATATTTCTATGACTACTTTACCATACGTGAAAATAAGAAATATTTAAATACATGAAGTATATAAAAATGACTAATATATCCTAAAAATTAAGAAAAACAGAGGAAATTCGGATTAGCCAATATCTCTTTTTGTTAAATTACGTCAATTAATTTGATAGAATCATCTGATAGACCAGATATGCTAACATCTTTTTGTGCTAAAAGAAATACATTTTAACTTTTAAAATAGAAGTAGGCACCACATGATTAGCAACAGTAGTTTTTTACTCTAAATGTCAAGGAAAAAGATAATGACCTTGACCTGACCTTGCTTCTAAAATAAAACGGTCAAATTCAATCTAACTGATACCATCACTAAGTGATAATGTCTTCTTGAATCTATGGAAATTTCATTAATTTTTAAATACAAGAAATATGAGAAGAATCCCTCCTTAAGTATTTTTGCCATTAAAGTTTAGAAAAATACTTGTAAAATTTCGTATTTCTAATCACTGTCTACCAGTTGAGCTGGGAAGATGGGCAGGTATACCATTAAATGAAAGATTATGTACACTTTGTAAAATCAAACACGTTGCTGATGAATTCCATTTAATACTTGAATGCACTGCATTGTCAAACATTAGGAAAATGTATATTAATGAGTACTACTTTACTAGACCAAATATACTTAAATTTTCTCAATTGATGACAAAACAAGATGCTAAGACACTGAAAAAACTCTGTACTTTTATATTAAAATATATGATTTAGTCTGTCCTTCATGATTTTTTCCTCATTTATACCATAATTATATCTATTAAATGTATTTATCATTTTTTCTTCTATTTTGTCCTCTTTCACTTTCATTTTCTGAATATGTATATCATATACTTGTACCTCTGACCTGAATTTATATGCTGTAAATATTTTTCATTGTCCTCATGTACCATATATTTACATGGTTTTGAGTGAATAAATGAACTTGAACTTGAATAGTTTCTTTGAAACTAAGCTTAACGCAAATTTAAGAAAAGTGAAGTCAAGGTCAAAGGAAAGATTAAGATTTAAAAAAAAATGTTAATGACTTTGAAAATGCTCTTATCAGTATGTATAAGCACATAAGGTTTGAAAAAATATCTTGATTCGTTTCTTTGAAACTATACTAACACAATTTAAGAAAAGTAAGGCCAATGTCAAAGAAAAGGCGAAGGTAAAAAAAAATGTTGACGCAGTTGTATGGCTTTCATCAATATGTATCAGCACATGAAGTTTGATAAAAATATCTTGAATAGTTTGTTTGAAACTGAGCTAAACGCAAAGTTTGACGGAAGGACGGAAGGCGGACATGACAAACACTATATGCCCCGGCCATATTCATGACGGGGCATAAAAATGCTCTCTTTGTTTGGTTATATGGGGATGACCAGTTTCGAAAATGCAGAAGAAATACATAACCCGCATATGTGGGTTACGTAAAGGAGATGGGCGAACAAGGCGCACAGAATGCCTATAGCTTCAGATATATAAATCATATAAGCAATTTGTGAATCTGTTATTTAGAGTAAACTTCTCATTGTTGAAATTTATGAAAGTATGACAAACAAAACTTTTCTGAGGAAAATTTTCTCTGCAAAAATTCTTGATGAATTGTGGCATTTAAATCATGTTTGTGATATGACCCTTGACTAAATGGACAAGTATTTCTCGAAAAAGATGCAAATGTTGTGTCATAAAAGTGCATTTCTAAGGTATAGTGGGTCTTTTGTTGAACAAAAAATGTACGAGTATATTTTTTTTTTGCAAACTTTGAGGATAAACTTTGAAATATATGGACCGAAGAACCACTCATATAGAAAAATTGTGTTATAGTATGAGAAAATGATCTTTTTTTTGTCCCTCTAGTGTGTGTATGCGATTTCATAGGCAAATAATTTCAATCTTTGTGAGAATTTTGCAAATTGTGGAGATTTTACAAAAAAATATACTTTAATTTTAGATGAAATATCAAAGAAAATTTCGCTTTAATTGAGATATAATTTTTCACTTTCATGTTTGTTGCACTATAGGCATTGTGCTAGCCTTAATCGCCCATCTTCTTTGCAACCCTTCATCACCCCCCCCCCTTTCCCCCAAACAAACAAACAAAGACATTATTTTGTTGCTTATATCTATATCTGTATATTAGTTATTTATTTATAAGTAAGTGGAAGTACGTAAAATATTACATTATTGATCCAAACATTATATATATGGACCGTGACCAATCCATTAACAACGTACATACGCACAGACATGTCGAGTTTAGATGCTTATAGGAGATCTGAGGAAGGGGGTGGGTGAGTTATGGAAACAAAATAGGCGATCAGCAAGCTTCGACAGAGCACTGGCAAGAGCCACTGATTATTTGTTAATCAGCGATAGGTGATGTTTATCTCCAATAAATATTCTTTTAAATTGAGGTGAAGTGTACATTATAAAAAGATTTCTGCGTACCTTATTTTCAAATTCACATACACTGCAGTTTTCCTTTCAATTACACAAACTTAAGTTTTGATTTTTTGAACTCTAGAGTGCGCCTGTACATTACCAAGCCTTTGGGACGGACAATGGTGGGACAGCAGCTCTGGGGAGGTAACCTTTACCCATTCCACTCAATTGTTGACGGGGTGGCGGATCCAGGCTTACACATCAGTCATCACGTCCTGGACATGTGTCAATCAAAATTCTAGCTCATTCCTTCTGTTCAGGTAAGCTATTATCTGTCTATTTTCTTGTTTGCTTAAAAGTTAGATTTGCCCATGTATTTGGAACGTACAAAGTAGAGGCTTCAGAAGGCCATTGGCTTCTATTAAAGCAAAGAAGCAGGTGTCTCAAAAAGAAAAAAAACACTATGATGACTCAGAGATTGATAGTCTTCTTTATCATCGCAGGTCCACAGTGACGATTTTAAAAGGGGGTGCAATCTGCCAAAAAAAAATTGGCAAGACATAAAAAAACCTTCATTGTCCAAACCCGAAAATTTTATTTCGCGGAGGGAGGGGGTTAAACCTTATTCTCACCTTTTGGTACACAATTTTCTTGTTCTCTCAAATGTTTGATTTTGCCAGTGTTCCACTATAAGTCACAAATAGTGGGGGTGGGGATAGCAACAAGTGTTTAGATGATGAAAATTCATATCAAAACTACAGAAAAGGGCTTTTCTCATACCCCCCCCCCCTCCCCCCGGCGTTCCATGGGCCTGCATTGACAACCTTTTCCCGAGTATGTTTAGTTGAATTTGCTAGGAATATAGTGAAGGAACAAATTAAACGCACATAGAAATGTTAACTAAATAAAGATACATTCAACTGGGATTGCTTACTTGTATGGTAAAGTTTTAACTATGATGTAGTTACATGTATGTTTTAAAACAAACGCAATCAAATGATTGATCTTGATCTTTAATCTGCTTCCAGTTTTGAAAAGGTTTAATGGATGCAACTACTGGCTAGCGTTTGGATAGAGAAGCATCCTCTGGGCAGCCATTGTTATCTCTATATGCTGAAACAATCCCACTGAGATATAGAATTAAACTTCATAAGCAATCACTGAATCGACAAAAAGTTATTAAGAAAAACTTTGGTCCAAGTGAAAAAGGTTCTTTTTAAATTGATCGCTAGAATGACGTTCATTATTACACAAACCATGATTATTAATATACTTACTTGAATTTTTTTTTAAAAATGTATGCAACGATATTGCTCATTTAAAAGCTTTAGCCCGGTTCTTTGAAAAAAGAATGGAGTATATCTTTTATGTTGTGTTGGCAGAGACAAAAGTTTAGAGACAAAATACTAGTATGCCGATTTTATTGATTTCTTTTTAACTTAATTCATTCTGAGATTTCGTGCAATCTATCTATTATACAAGACGATTACGTTAATAAAAAACTAAGACCTTTAACATACAAAGACATACAAAACATTAATATTCACCAAATGAGATCAAACAAAAGACGGAGCATTTCACCCTCCTGGTAGAGGGTCTCTCATTGTTTGGAACTATATTACTTTTAAAGAGCATCAAACATATTATGGAATCAAAAAATTATTTTTATACCACTTTCCATATTTTTTACGAACTACTTGATGCTTACTGATTTTGACTCTTAAGTATGATATTTTACGTACTTAGTGGCCGATGATGTATTTTATGCCTTTTTTTCCCACCATGAAAGGTGACTAATTCCTTCTCATGAGATCGGACATCTTTCGAGAATTTTGAATTCTGAAACATTTAAATTTTCAAAATTTACAAGAACTTCTCCTTGTCTTTCTCTAGAGTTCTGCAAATCATACGCCCGAACTTTAGTAATGCCATTGTTGCTGCAACCCTCACATATTAATGGTTTCCATTTGTAGAATAACAACTTCATCAACCTTGTAGAACAATAGATTGTTCGGCAGTGAGATATTACAGCTCAGAAATCGTTTTCATCGAAGCTTTACTTTCAATTAAAAGATCTGGTTATGCCTCTTCAATACAACTTTCATACAGATTTTTGACTCTTTCTCCTTTTGCATTTTACATTAATCTCTAGCATTTTATTAGTACTCTAATTAAGGAAGATTATTCTGAATAGCCAAGCTAAGTCCTGACCTTTAGTCTCTTGAGACACTGGTTTCGCGAATGATGAGGTATTAAAATAACATATCGAGAACTTTTCTCCATAGCCCTTTTCTTGGACTTCATATTTCTAAAAGACTTGTAGGACTCTTGTTGTAGTCGACTGACATTGTCCTATCAATTTCTTAATTCTCCCTGGTAAGTTCCTATTCCACTTTATAAACACTTCTAGTTCGACAAGAACATTACTTAGAATTACTGAGCTGCCTCCATTTCACCATCAACTTCATGTCTGCATCAACTATAGTGCATTAGTAAACTGTTCTATAGCTATTGCTTTCCTTATGTCACTGAGAACTATTGGATATACATGTACAAGGCCTCACTGCTCTGAGATTCTTTGTTTTCTCTCCCCCAGATGCAACTGATTACTATCTCTTTGGACGGAAAAATCATGTAAATCTACATATTTCCAAGCATTCTTTGAGTTGCCCCTTCTTGTGAGATTGCTCTAATGTGAGTTTCGTGCCCTAATAACTCATCTTTTTTCCATCTTTTAAGGCTCGCAACTACAGCTTGTATTCACTTCTAACATATGTTGTTGGTGTTTTGGGATTGATGATATATCGATTAATGTCTTTAAACATTTGGAACGACACCTCTCTCTTGGCTTCGGCAGACTTGGACATTATGACTTAGAGAAGAAGAAGCCATGTGTGAGATAATTATCTGGTCCAGGCCAACGATTTTTATTTCTACGATTAACCAAGTCGTCTTAGCTTGGAGCTCTTGATCTAGCAAGTTCGAACAGTCCAAGCTAAACAAACCATACTTTGAGGCTAAGCATGCAGGCTGTATTACTTTGGTACCCCGTCCTACGCTATCTAACTAGGTTGAACTTTTAGGCACCCGTAATCGAAGATTCGGGGCATATAATTTTTGGTCTGTCCGTCTGTATTTTCAGCTGTTTATCTGTTTGTCTGCAAAAACTTTAACCTTACCTTTAACTTATGAATGGTTAATTCTAGGGCTTTCATATTTCACTTATGTATTCCTTGTGACAAGACCTTTTTTTTTGAGTACCAACATTTTTGACATCTTGACCTTGAAGTTTAACCTTCTTCAAAACAAGATGTGTTTGTGAAATACTGATGCCCCCGTATGGAAACTTATAGCAAAGGTTAAACTTTCTCAAATGCAAATCAAATATGTTGGTACCCAAAGTAAGGTCTTGTCTCGAGGAATATACATGTGAAATATGAAAGCCCTAGCAGCAACCATTGAATAGATATGGAAAAAGTTAACTTTTTTTTTTTCAAAAGTATGTCAAACATCAAGGTCAAATGGTCAAAATTAATGGTGCCCAAGGAAAGGCCTTCTCCCAAGAAATACACAGGTGAAATATGAAACCGAAGCACCAATCATTCAAAAGTTATGACCAAGTTTAAAGTTTTCCAAAAGTAGGTCAAACTCCAAGGTCAAAGTCAAAGGTTCAAAGTTGTTGGTATTCGAAGAAAGGACTTGTCACAAGGATTAGCTATGTGAAGTATGAAAGCCCTAGCACCAACCTTTCAAAGGTTATGGCCAAGGTTAAAGTTTTCCAAAAGTAGGTCAAACTCTAAGGCCAAGGTCAAATGGTCAAAGTTGTTTGTATTCGAAAGAACGTCTTGTCACAAGGTATACACATGTGAAATATGAAAGCTCTAGCACTAACCGTTCAAAAGTTATGGCCAAGGTTAAAGTTTTCCAAAAGTAGGTCAAACTCCAAGGTCAAGGTCAAAGGGTCAAAGTTGTTTGTATCTGAAAGAAGGTCTTGTTACATGGTATACACATGTGAAATATGAAAGCTCTAGTACCAACGGTTCAAAAGCTATGGCCAAGGTTAAAGTTTTCCAAAAGCAAACTCCAAGATCAGGGTTAAAGGGTCAAAATTGTCTATATCCGAAGGAAGGTCTTGACACAAGGATTACACATGTGAAGTATGGAAGCCCTAGCACCAACTGTTCAAAAGTTATGGCCAAGGTTAAAGTTTTTTCAAAAGTAGGTCAAACTCCTAGGTCAAGGTCAAAAGGTCAAAGTTGTTAGTATCCAAAGAAAGGTCTTGTCACAAGGATTTTACATGTGAAGTTTGAAAGCCCTAGCACCAATTGTTCAAAAGTTATGGCTAAGGTTAAAGTTAGGTAAAATTTTGCAAAACTGGGTCAAACTCCAAGGTCAAGGTCATATATGGTGGTACCCAAAGAAAGGTCTAGTCACAAGAAATACACACGTGAAATATGAAAGCCATAGCTTCAACCAATCAAAAGTCATGGGCAAGGTTAACGTTTTTGCGGACAAACAGACAAACAGACAGACGGACGGATGGGCAGGGCAAAAACTATATACCCCCGAATCTTCGATACGGAGGCATAAAAAAAACTTTTACCAAACTTTAACCTTGTCCATAAGTTTTGAACATTTTGTGCTAGGGCTTTAAAGTTTCATATGCGTATTTCTTGAGACAAGACCTTTCTTTGGGTACCAACATTCTTGACCTTTTGACCTTGGAGTATGACCTACTTCTGAAAAACTTTAATTTTGGCCACAACTTTTGAAGGGTCGGTGATAGGGCTTTCAGAATTCACATATGCATTCCTTGTGACATGACCTTTCTTTGGGTACCAACATTTTTGTCTACTTGAGTTTGACTGTAGATATTAACCTTTTTTTGAAAGTTCTTAATCTTGCACATAACGTTTGACCTGTGTTTTCTTTGTGACAAAACCTTTCTTTGGGTACCAACATTTTTTAGCCCTTGACCTTGGAATATGATATACATTTGCGAAACTTTAACCTTGGCTATGAACTGCCATACGAGGCAGTGTTTCACAAATACATCTTGTTTAATGTTTTTCTGCAGCTATTCTCTTCTTTTTTTAGACGTGAAAAAAGTCCAAATACTTTAAGGACTTAAAAATTTTTTATTCAGACTTACTTTTAGAACGTAAATTTATCTGACCTCTGGTCGTAGTCATTTATAGATTGTACATTCTACTTCAGAGGAAGTACCACACTTACACAATCTATGAACAAATATATTAACTGGCTGTAAAGATAAGCTTAGGATCATATCATGTTCAATCATTGTTATAATTTCAGGGGTAACCAATACCTAGATCTGTTCAGTTCAGATGTTGTTGCATTCCGATGTGTTCGATACGTCAGGATAACAGATTACTCTTACTATTACTATATTTTTGGAGGTAAAATATTGAAATAAAATAATTGCCTCAAGAGGGATAGGTCGTCAAGGTCATTTTTAGACTATCTAAACATCCTGGAAATAGACATTTGTAAAAAAAAAAAATATAGAAATATTTTGAAAATTGCATTGAATATATTGTATGTATTGTATAAGTAATTATTTATAGCTAGAAAAATAATATTTGATATTTTTAGGTGTATCTTTAGGTAGTCTTCTTTACCACCCAGTCTTCTTAAAATGGGCAGACAAAGAATTGCATTAAAATATAAAAGGTTGAATTGTATATCTATTATGACAATCGAATTATGTTTAAAACATGCATGTTGCATTTATAGATGAACAACTCGAATCAAATAAGCAGAGGTATGAGGGGAAAATTCTAAGTACGTCTCCCTCGGAAGATTTGTCTGCCCGCTGTCAGCCACCTAATGGTCCTTCCGGTGAAGAATACCATGTCCTAGTCAAGAAAGGTCTGTAAAATGGAATTATCATTGAGTACTAGTGTAATATCAATTATTTTTAGTGTAATATCAGCTGAAAAGGATTTTAAATTCATGCTGTGTACATGAATTAAAATCAAGATCTGTAACATAAATTCTTTATTTTGCATAATAAAAACTCACAGGTTTTGAGAGAAGTGTGAAGCAGTGGTGCCCAGTTCCTCTTCTCGGAACATTTTCATACATACACGACACCGGAAGTGTTGTTAATTGTGTTTCTGGATCAGAAGTTAGCGCATGCCCAGACTGGACATATTTGGCTTTCAATTATTCACAGTGTTCAACAATTCAAGCGTTTTCGGGTATTGAATTCAGCTGATTTCTAGGTTATATTTCCTGTAAATTTCATAATAATTTTGAAACTTTTTTTTCTACAAGTATAAGCAAAAAAGATCTGTTTCCATTCTAGCTGCCGGTAGAGTTCAGTGTGTGGCAACTGTACAGTATAACAGTACTCTGTACACTACCGTGTTCAACCCTGAAACTGTGACTGATACCACTAACTACGACAAATTTTCATGTCTAGTAAGAACAGTTGGAACAAATACTGAGAACACACTACTGTATATATTTTTTTGTGGTCTGTTAATGTTAGTCCACATTGACAAATCTATTTTTTATTGAATATCAATTTGATTTATCAGATAATATTTATTTTCGTGAAATTTAAGGCTATCTCAAAGTCAGGAGATACTGTGTATATCAGTGATGCCAAGGGAAGCTGTGAAAACGGTCAAAGTTCACAAGTTAAAGCCACAAGAGGAAGTGGTACACTGGTGTTAACGGAGTACAGTAAGACTCTTTTTTTTTCAAAAAAAAATATATATCTTTCAAGGCTTAACCCAAGAATTAAAAATGACAAAAAAGTAAATTACAAAATATATATATCTTACTTTTTTCTTTCTATTTTACAGGTCGATGTTGTGAGTATCAATATTGTTTTAATTCTATCATGTTTAAGTTTTGTTAAAGTTTTATTTTCAAGAGATTGGTTTATAATTTTTAAAAGTAATATTTTTAACACAGACGGGGGATGTGATTTCCCGGATGCGTGGGACTCGGAATGGTATGATAGCAGTCATGGCGATATAATTCTAAACAGAAATTACAGTGCAGTATCTGAAGGATGGTCAATACCTGTGTATGAAACCAGCATACTTTCCTGGACATGTTTCGCTGAAAACACTTCAGCAAGTTATTTTTTGTTCAAGTAAGATGTATCTATGTTTATCGATAGTTTGTATCGTTAATTTGCTCAAATGGCTAAAATTGTTGATTGCAGAATGAAATTCACTGCCTTCAATCTTCTTCTTAAAATAACTATCAAAACTTCGTCGAGTTAGTTGGACCCTTTCATTACTATGATTTTCAAATTGCTTTTAAAACCATATACCGGTATCTCTAAATCATTGTCTTTATTTCTTAAGAGGAGACCAAATACCTTTATCGTCTGGAATCCGCCAAAACGTGTTCAGATGTGTTAGATGGGAGAAACTAACAACATATTCCTACAGCTATTATATACTGGCAGGTTTGTTGATACTCAAATACATGTAATTTACAAATGATATGTTCCTGTTTGAAATCATTGTTTATATATTAATCTTGACTTTTTTCAATGATTATCGAAGAAATCTTGAAACCGTAAAGAATATTTCATAAAGGAGATAAGATTGATAAAGATTCATTTACAAATAAAAACAGGATTAATGACTTCTGGGTAATATATCTCTATGCTCAGGTAAAAACTCAAATGCTGCCAACAACAGAGTGATCACAGAAACCCAAGATGTTAGTGTGACGTCATGGACAACCTCAGATTATTGTCAGGAATCGGCCTCTCCTCCAGTAGAGGAGTTCCATGTGATTGTTATGAAGGGTAGGATAACTGTACACTATTGAATCATTTGAAAGATGATTTTTAAGTTTTAAAATCACAAGTCATTTTCTTTGGGACAGAATTTGGTAGATAAACACTTTGTAATAAATTATACAATGTACCACTAGTTAACACATCAATATTCAAACATGGGAAAGTAGTAATCACCAGATTCACAAGATAATTAGCCCAAACAAATCATATTAATTCAAAGTTTAAACAATGTCAAAAAAATTATGAATATTTTTTTTTTATTGCTTAAACTTTGAATTAGAATAACAAACAGGACACCAGAATCAGCACTATTTGTCTTTTAAAGCAACAGAACAATTGCATCGCATTGAGATCGTTCCTTTTGGGCGCTCAAAAGATAACCATTGATGATCCCCAAACTCAGTTCTCTACCCCAAATTTTACTTTAAAAAATAATAAAACCGTTGTTCATAGGGTTCAGGAAAAACAAGTCTGCAAAAACAGTCTTGGGGTATATGATTTAAGTCATAATAATCTTTAATACATATGGAAATTGTGAGAAAGAAAGGGCTGTTTTCCCCACATAAATGTGAATTCTCGAAGAAAATACAGAATAGAAAATAAGTATTGGAATTCCCTAGCAAATTTTCTGGAAAAAACCCAGCTCATCAGCAATCTTACTTAATTTTTTTTATCAGTGCCTCTATGTATCTTCAAAGTACTAATTGTGTGAATTTTCTGTGAATATATACACATCATATTATTTGTTCATATTGGTTCTTTCTGTATTGGAAAATATTTTGCTGGCTTTGTTGCTTTTTATCCTATCTTTTTTAAACCACTTGCATTATTTTCAGAATAATACTTAAAGCATATAAAAATTCAAATCAGAAGCCCGTTTTATTCACTAGGTGTCATTCGTTAGACGTATATCTGTATTTTCGAACAACATACTTTACAGTACGTGTGACTAAGACACACATCATGAGTAACTGAAAACCATTTTTAACACGTTATGGTTCAAAGTTTCTTAGCAAAACAAACGGATTTTCCAAATGTTTTGCTTGAAGAGATTAACAAAATGCAATATGATACTCTGAATTTCTTCCGTTGAAAATCTATTATATGCATGATTACCCATTTTGTCATATTTGAATGCTGAATTATTTTGAGGTTTATATATTATTCAGGTATGTCACTCGTGATATGAGCTATATCAAGGATTTATTAGAAGTATATTTTAGATAACTACTTATAAAGCATGACTCAAAATAGCAAAGAAAATTGGGGGTCAGTGTGCATCTTACTGAGCAACGGTACAATTAATTTGACCCTTTTGCACTTAAATTGTAACTATTTACTGAATGCAATCATGTGAATCATTATTATATGTAAAATAGTTTGAATAATATTTATTATTGAAAAAATCCTGCAAATTAATGCGCGTAGAGTATTGTGTGACCTTTTTGCGCTGAAAAAATATATTTGGGGTATTAAAAATTCTGATATGCAAATATTTTCTTGTATCAAGCTTTTTTATGACCTAAGTGCTGATCGGTTGAATGTATCGTGTGATTTAAAATAATGAAAGAAAAAGTTGGGGTCAGTGATGTAAATTTTGAGATATTGGTCAAAATTTGCGATTTTCAGGCAAAAAACAATGTAAATTTTATCTTGACTTCTTAAATATATCTTCATTTTTTGGCAAAGTCTGTTGAGTTCATATTTAAAGTTTGTTTAAAAATATTAATTGTAAGCTATACTTAATATTTCTAGCATATAATAGCGGGGGGGGGGGGGGCGACGAGAAAAAATATGTATGGCCAAAGTTCCAAGATATTAAAATGAAATATATGGAGATAACGAACAGTATTCAAGCTCAAAAGACCATTAAACAATACAAAATAGGAGCAGAGAAAACATCAGAGGTGGGATCAGGTGCCGTGGAGGAGTGAGCTTCCCCTGCTGACCGGTCACACTCAGTTTGTAAATAATGGCCTAACAATTAGTATGAAAAATGTCAGTCAGCATTTGACATAATGATAAATTGTATTTGCTGACAAGGTCATTGTATCGACCATAGAACTTACGAAATGATGACTTTAAACGAGACTGCTGATATTCTTGTTTCATCAACTTGTTTGTCAATAATTTACCTCGTTTTAGAAATTGTACATACGTAGAGCATGCTCTTGCGTATCGAATCAACTGAGAAATATAAACCCTGTATGAAGGTGATGAAGGTATATTGCTGCATAAGTAAGGGAAGTTGACGACTGAAAAGTTAAAGTCATCACGTTTATCATAAAGCTTGGTTACCACTAACGTCTTTTTCTAAGTAAAATATCCAAATATGAAACAGATTGTCAGACTCTGTGGTATCTTTTATCTCCAACTCACCGGGATATATCGTATTAAAAATGGAAATAACCATTGTTAATTTACAACACGTCGTCGATATATCTGAATGTCGAGTTGAAGGCGACAGCAAGTGTTTTCTTCTTTTCACGTATAAGATTTTGGACAAATTCTGCTTGATATGAATACAAAAAAGGTCTGCTTATAACGGGGCGCAATTGGTACCCATGGAAATTCCAATAGATTGTTGGAAGACCTGGTCTCCGAAAACCACATAGATATTGTCAATCAGAAACTCAGGCATCTTTTTAATGTCAACTTCAGAGTACAATGTACTTGTGTGTACAATCAGAATGTTTTTTAACAAAATAATTTTGCAAATGTCCAATGACAATGTAAGTAAATTTACGAGTTCCATTTTTATTGAACATATAAATCAAACAAATATGTAGATTTGAAGAATTTTCTTCTAAATACTTTTCCACCAAAAGAAAAAGTCCACCATCATTTTTTTTTCTTTTTTTTTTTTTACAATTTTAAAACAGTTTTATACAGTTCTTAAATTGAATATTGTGTAATTTGCATTGTTTATAATTGAATTGTAAGAAATAATTTTGAAGTTAGAAGTTCTGTCCAAACTTGTCTTAAAAGGTGACGAGTGACATACCTCAAGTACTGTTAACCTTTATCACCAGTAAACATTTATATGATTCCTATCTTCAATGCACTCTTCATAGAGCTACATGCACTTTGTTCCTGTAATCCTGAGAAATAATTTTGAAATTAGAGGTTCTGACCAAACTTGTCTTAAAAGGTGACGAGTGACATACCTCAAGTAATGTTAACCTTTATCACCAGTAAACATTTATATGATTCCTATCTTCAATGCACTCTTCATAGAGCTACATGCACTTTGTTTTTTTAATCCTGAGCGATCAAACATATTTTTAAGAACTCTATCTTTACTAGTGACCATCGCGGAATTCAAAGCACCTGTATAATATGTTGTTAAGGAAGTAGCTTCTTTAGACTTATAGAACAGAAATTTTAAACCTATCTCGCATCTATGAAACATTGAAAGTTACAGACCCTATAACTAACATAATCATATTCATAACTTAGAAGTTTCCAATCTAAAATGATCCTGCACATTATATTGCTATCTTACAAAAAGAGAGTAAATTATGCTGGATGATAATTTGCTTATCTTGCTTTTCATAATAGTCACTATTAATATTAATTCTCATATTAAATTTTCTATTGTTTTATTCATTCATGAACAGGTCGTGAAGTAAATGCAAAGCAGTGGTGCCCTGTCCCTTTGTTGGGTAACTTCACCTACACACATAACGACGGCATCTCCACCACATGTGGGTCTTTGAATTCCGACCTAAACGTATGCCCCTCTTGGTCCATCATGACATTTAACTACACCATGTGTAGTACAGTTCAAGGATTCTCAGGTAAAACTAACTCATTATAAAGCATATTATTATTATTATTATTATTATTATCATTTTACATTTAATATTATAAAACTCCACATACACATTTTACACGAATATTTGGAATAATGGGTAAGGCCCGATAAAAAGTGTTGGCGCCGAGAACATATTGATAGGTGTTTCATTATATATGTTACATTTTTACAGTTCAATATCTTTCTTGTATATCAAATATTTAACGCAAGTTATATATCAATTTAAACAGGTTGGGGGAAAACGTAAATTCCGCTATAATAGTGGTATACCACTATTATAGTGAGATTCCGCTATATTTTCAGCCGTAGTTGTCCTTGATTTCATCAAATAACATACTTGCTGTTTAAAGCGCAAGTTATGATGGGAATAAAAATGAACAATAATTGGCATCCTTACATATTATGAATTTTATTTAATTTTCTGCCGATGCGTTTGATAATGCGAACACACTTTTTAAAGCGGAAGTTACATTTTTAACATAGCAACCAGTGATTGCGGTAATATTGAACAAAGACTGACTCTTAATATCTCTCTCACATGTGCACAAATTAGTGCTTGTAATAACTTTCAACCAATTTTGGAATAGGTTTGTCGAATTTACAGACGAAAAGATGATTTTTGCCTGCATGGTGACGTGTACGGAGAACCGTTATGACAAACGAAAAAAAGCTCATTACATGTTTACTTTATTCTGATGAAACCGATTTGTATAGTTTTTGCAATAAATCGTTAACAATGATATAAAATGTCATTTCTGCAGGTAATTACATATACATTATATGACATTAGTTTCCGGAATGTTAAACAAAATTTTTTGAAATATTAATTTTTGTATTATGACAAGTAAAGTTAAATTAAAAAAAGAAAAATCTTTTTAAAAACTATTTCAAATATTATATGTGTGAGCGATTTTTGTTGGGAATATTTGGCGTAATTTCTCAGAAGAAACATTGGTGCTTAATACATGTACTATGATTAAACCACGTAATGGCGAGACATAAATTAAATGTTCATTTAGTTATGATATAGCTGCAGTTTCCAAAAATATAAGTATGTTGAAAATTACTAATAAAAGACACCAGGGAGTATAACAAATCTGCTTCTTTCCTTAAATATTTTACTAGAGAAAGAGATTGATGACAAACTAATAACTAAACTTACATGGTACATGTGATAACTACTTTTTCTATCGTCAACTTCCCTTGTTATGTAGCAATATACCATATTACCTGCATGTGGGATTAATGTCTTAAATTATTAATTGATTCGATACACATTACGAACAACAAGGGGTCTCGGTTTTAAGAGGGTCTTCCGCCTATTCCCCAACCCTTTTTTTAAAATCACAAATCCACCTATTCCCGCTTGCAAGTAACAAAATTAGTTGAACGTTCAATTGTGTTTATAACAATTATGTTAATTACATCCCAACTTAGATATACCTGTGTTTTGTAGAATTTAATACACCTTAAGACAGAAAAAACACAATAAATAAATCGATGAAAATGCAATGATTGATTTCACTTAATTTTGTACATTTTCTGACAGAAAATAAATAAATAGATGTAAGAAAAATATAATGTAATTCACTCAAATTTTTTGCACTTTACGACAGAAAATAAATTAAATGGGTTCAATTTTTTTTTTCAATTTGCTTGAAATACTGTATGAAATATGAAGATAACAAACAGTAATCGATCTCAAAAGTCCATTGAAACAATACAAATTTTAAACAGAGCAAACACAAACCTCTAAAAACATCAAAGATGGGATCAGGTGTCATGGAGGAGTGAGCATCCCCAGCCGACAAGTGTGTTCCTTGTCGTGATAGGAAAAAAAAAACGAAAAAATAACCGTACGCGAAAACAATTCAATGTGCATATAATGGCTTCTTTGTAGTTAAAAAAGCGGGCTTAATATTTTAGCGGCTGTGGCGAGACAACGATGCACTAATTCATGATAACTATTAATAAATGAATTTTGCAAAGTCCATGTTCGACAAGGGATGCGTAATCCTCCATAGCACCTTATCCTACCTATTCGCTCTGCAAAAAAATTATTGCTCAGATGGCCTTTTTTCGTTATCTTCATATTTCTGTTTCTCCTTGTATTTCGTTTATTTACAACAGAATAATCTACTTCTGGTAAATAGGATTTCATTGTTTCTTTTCCAGTGTATATCGTAGTTAAATATAAAATTTCATGCAAGCTAGAGAATCAAAAAATCGTGCAGAATTTATTTTACGTCACGTCTACAGGTAATTTCATGCACAAGTGTAATTCGTCTTTTCTTGCTAAGAATAATCATTTAAATTCATGGATTCATCGTCAAGAAAGGAAACATTATACACAAACTTAAGATTACTTCGAAAAGTGACATATTATATATATTTATTACAATTTAGACGACACAAATCGGTTCCTTTAAAATGTACATGTGCTGAGCTTTTTTTTCATTTGTCATAACGGGCCTCCATACCCGTTACCATGCAGGCAAAAATCACCTTTTCTTCTATAAATTCGACAAACCTATTCCAAAATGAGTTGAAAGTTATTACAAGCACTAATTTGTGCACATGTGTGAGAGATATTAAGAGTCAGTCTTTGTACAATACTACCGCAATCACTGGTTGCTATGTTAAAAATGTAACTTCCGCTTTAAAAAGTGTGTTCGCATTATCAAACGCATCGGCAGAAATTTAAATAAAATTCATAATATGTAAGGATGCCAATTATTGTTCATTTTTATTCCCATCATAACTTGCGCTTTAAACAGCAAGTATGTTATTTGATGAAATCGAGGACAACTACGGCTGAAAATATAGCGGAATCTCACTATAATAGTGGTATACCACTATTATAGCGGAATTTACGTTTTCCCCCAACCTGTTATTGTATTATAATATTTAATTGTGACAGAAACTCCGATGTCATAATTTGGATATTTTTCGAAAATGGGTATAACTTTTCAACATGTTGCTGAATTGTAAAGATGTTTTATCAATGCAAATCGCCCAAATTCATTCAGAAATTGATGAAGGAAGATAATCCAAAAGAAAAAAACCTTTTCTAAGATGCTTATCAAAAGGCTAGTAACAAAGTTAGCAAAGTTTTGAAAGTATAAAGATGAACAATATGATAGAAATGATACAAAAATCTAGAAAACTAAGGACTTAAAGAACCGGAGATTTCCTTGTTGAAGTAGAGACTCTAAATAGGTCAAACTCCATAGAAAGTGTCTGACTGATGTTTTTGAAATTTCATGCTGGCAATGTCAGCACTTACAGTATATATTTGGACTTTGAAATATGATATAAAGTTATCAACGTACAAATTCTCAATAATGCAACACCCCAGAGAAAGAGTTTGACACCTGCATTAGCCAGGTCTCAATAATAAGGCCTTTTCTACAGGTATTCTTAAGAACAGGGTCTACAATACTAGATCACAGATACTGAATGAGCTCAAAAAAAAACAACCCCCAAAAACCTTTTAAAAGAGGAGAGTCTTGGAAAAATTGCGTGGCAATGGTTATAAAAATTTCAAGAAGCAACTTTCTCTAGTTGATATTTCATCAAGTTTTTAATATTTTGGTTGATGTTTGTAATTAATGAATCTAATGGGTGCATGCATTAATATGATGAAAACACCTTTCTGTATCTTTTTCCTGTGTTTGTCAATTTATAGATTCAAAATGTAACATGTATTATGAAACACGCTGTATAATTTAAAATTATGATAAATGTTTAAAATATTTTCTTAGATGAATAACGACACCGTTATTTTAAACTTGATACATAATTTTTTTTTTTTGTAGATTTCTCCGTTATCTTTTGTTAGTTTTTGTTTTGAGATTTTTTACCTTGTTTTCGCAAGAAATATATAACTGATAACCGATAGGGAAAAAATATCCAATGAAGAAAAATTTAACTTGCGACTTTCAATTCCATCTTTCTACTTAGATGAGGGAATCTTGTACTGCTTGAAGTATGTCCTAAAAGGATCGACAATTTATCTGTCTGTCTTAAACCCTGGTGTGGTGGACAACACGGCTACACACAGATTTACCTGTTATGTGAGTATGAATTCATGTGATTGGTATTTTTACTTTTTAGTTCTAATCGTGGACAAATTTTCCTATCTTTTAAGCAAAACAAACAGATTTATTTTAATCTCGTTTGTATATTAGAATGCTAGGAAAAAAAGTGAAATGTTAAATATATATACATAGTTTTACAAATGTATTTAAGTCTTCCATCCAATCTGTTGAAAAAAACTTTTCACCTTTGAATACTTGGCATAGGCTCTGACAGAGAGTGGGGTTTTATTTAAGTCTTCCATTAAATCAGATGAAGAAAACTTTTGACTTTTGAATACTTGGTGTAGGCTCTGACAGAGAGTGGGGTTTTATTTAAGTCTTCCATTAAATCAGATGAAGAAAACTTTTGACTTTTGAATACTTGGCATAGGCTCTGACAGAGAGTGGGGTTTTATTTAAGTCTTCCATTAAATCAGATGAAGAAAACTTTTGACTTTTGAATACTTGGTGTAGGCTCTGACAGAGAGTGGGGACACCGTGTATATGAGTGATAGTAAAGGGAGCTGTGAGGCGGGACAGAGTCCCACGGTAAAGGCCCCGGATGGTAGTGGAACTCTCCAACTGGAATCAACAGGTTTGAACTCACTTCAGTTTTTTTTTTTTTACTGAGCAATATAATTAGAATTTCAAAAGAAAATGTTGATATATTTCAAGTTCTGTATCAATGCTAGTTAATGGTACTAAATAAAGCTTTTCCCCTTCTTCTTATCCACACATTTCCATTTTAAGATCAGTGTTAACATATTTTCAATACATTTAAGATTTACTTTTCGCCGAGCAAAACTATAAACACGTATACTGAGTTCAAATTTTTGTAATCATTAACTCTCAAAAGAAAAAAAAAATCACTGGGGAAGATAAGTTCTAATAAATGTTGATTGTAAAAGCTTCAGTGGACTTTAACATTCCGTCGATTTTATTTCTTTTTCTTTTTCAATCACTTTAATTTATATTGATACATTTCAAATGCACATTTGGTCATGAAAAGGAACGTCTAAAATATTATTATTGAAGAATTAATAGAACAAGTTTATCTTTAGATTTTATGTAGGAGCATGAGAAAAAAAAATATGAAATCATTTTCAATAGCTCTTACGAGCATAAATTTGTAACATAAGATTTAATTGGTAAATAAATGTTAGGGAGTGGAAAACAGTACTTTTATTTATTCCTCTCAATGATATTATAATATTAGTTATATTTTATTTTTGATTGCAGAACGATGCTGTAAGAGAAACACTCATGTTTTAATGAATCTTTTCTCACTGCAAAATGGCGCTTATTCACTTCACAGGCATGATTTGTTGTGAATGTCTATACTTATGTGCTTTGTTTATTTATTAAATCACCTCTTTCACTGTCATGTTTAAAACTTTAAACATAATGTTGTGTGAATTCTTTTTGATTTTGATTTACCATACGTGTGTTTCTTTCTGAGAAGAGTGAATTATTGCATCTTTATACATTAAATTCAACAACTAGAGAAGGTATGCTTGGAGTACATCAAACAGTGTAGGTAAGCTATTGTAAATATTTGCCCATAATTCACAATTTCACTTGATGTTTAAAACACTTATTTAGAGGATACACCTTAAATAGATAGCATATTTTAAGAAAAAAAAACTTTTTTTTAAATTTTCACTTCATAAAAATAAAAAAAAAAAAACAGTATTTCAATTGCTGTAAATTTAATTGGAGCGGTTTTTTTTTTTAAAATCATCCATATTCGTCGAATTTAATGTTAAAGCTGTTGAGCTCGTAAGTAATTTTATTTTATTCATTTAAATGTTGATCATTTGTAATGTTTCGTGTTTAAATCTTAAAATTAACGATATTAACCTTTATATTTCTCATGAATTGTAAAGTTCTTCATTTCTTTGAAAGACGGTTCCTGCACATTCCCCGTGACTTGGGATGGTTCCTGGTATGACAGTGGGATGGGAGAAATAACTTTGAGTTACGCTGTTAAGACTGTGTCAGGATGGAGCGTCAATATCAATAGTACGGAAATGACGTCATGGACGTGTCAATCACAGAATGCTTCAGAAGGAATAATGCTCTTCAGGTAAGAATTGACAGAAGAATTTGGTTTACAAAACTGTTATTTATAGTAAACGAGGAAAATAAAATTGCTTCTTATATTTTTGAATACCATTAAGTATAGTAAATTTTAGCCAATTAGAACGATTGCTGTATCATCTAAATATTTTATGTTATTATGCTTTTACATATCATGATTTTGAATGGAATATTTCAGAGCCAATGATCTTCTAAATATCAAAGAAAAGTTGTACAATGTCTTCCGTTGTATAAGGACAGTTAAGCTAACAAACTACTCGTATACGTATTATGTTATGAATGGTAAGTGTTGAAAGTACCAAACCAACCACTTTTTTGCCTGAATTGTTTTCATCCAGATAAAACTTTCAAGTATTTAATTTCTATTTAGATATAATGGAGGATGCTGGTTTTGAAAGGATACAACTGACTGAATATTCACCTGACGTCACGAATTGGGATGTGAATTCATTATGCTCCCCTATGGCTCCTGCAGAGGATGAAGAGTACTACATGTTGGTTAAGCAAGGTAAGGAACATGCATTTCTTCTGACAAACAGAATTGATGAAACATCTTTAAGATAATTTTTCCAGTCAAATAATAATTAGCTGTAATATTTCCCGAATTATATTAATCCTTGGCTTAATTGACACCTTAATGACCAGCTAAGATCTAAACATTATTTAAAACTTCAACTTTTCCGTCGTCAACCTTCCCTATTTATGTTGTTATATTCCACAATCAACTGCATATGATGTTTTTGTCTCCCAGCTGATTTGATGCTCAAGAACATGTTCTTGGTACAATCAATTTTCAAATCGAGACAGACTACTGAAAAATATGCTGAAATTACATGTTTTTTAACTCTCTCGTTTAAAGTCAACATTTGGCAAATTCTGTGGTCGTTAAGTGACCTTGTTTGTAAATACAACCTATCTGACTGACATGTTTCCCACAAATTGTCAAACTATTGTTTTTATACCATTTTGATTTCGGAATACTCCGTGTACCTAATCAACACAGAGGGGTCAAGTCAGGTGTGACCGAACGACATGGAATAATAAACTCTCCCAGACACCTGATCCCACCTCTGGTATTTCCAGAGCTCCATGTTTTTGCCCTGTTCACGATTTGTATTTGTTTATGAGATTGATCACTGTTCGTAATCTTCACTTTTACATTTAAGGGCATGATACAGAAGTAAAGCAATGGTGTCCTATTCCATTGAGAGGGGACTTTAACTACACACATGACACTGGCCTTGTAACATCTTGTGGACTGTCCTCCTCTCTAACTGCGTGTCCAGACTGGGTCACGTTACAGTTTAACTACTCTCTGTGTCCAACCATTCAGGCATTTTCGAGTATGTAATTCAGACTTATATATATAAAAAAAAAATAAACTGACTATACAAATATGTTTTTAAAATTCAGTGAAATAATTACTTATTTTATTGAAAAAATAAATAAGGACTTTCCTATCCATAGCACTACAAATTTTATTATTCCTCAATTGTAGAAGAAGGAATTGTTAATTGTGTTCATACTGTGGTACAAGGTGACACATATTTTACGTCTGTATTTAATCCGGGGCATGTAGACGGGGTCAACTTCCGGCGATTTACCTGCCTTGTATGTAATGATTCTTACTGATAACACTTTCACATATTATAATGTTATTTTGTATATTTTAGTAAAACTTAAAATTTTATAGAATTTTTTAAACAGTTTTCAGTTCAGATGCATATCACTGAACGGCATATTTCACTGAAAATCAAACACACTGAATTGATAATGTTAATTGATTGATAGGCTGTAACAGAGATGGGTGGGATAGTTACAGTGAGTGACAGTGCCGGAAACTGTCAAGCCAACCAAACAAGTCACTCCAAACAAGCCGACGGAAGTGGTATACTCACACTCACAGTGAAAGGTACCTAACCTGATATATTCTGGAGTTTTTCAAGAACGTTTTCAACCTTTAAAAAGTTCATCAATGTTCTACTTAATTCAATAAAATAAGGGATTTGTAAACTGGTTAACAAAGTAAATGAATGCATATAGCGTATGTACATAATCAAATAAATATATCAATTCGTAAGAAATTAACAATGATATATATTTTTATTTTCCAGAATCATGTTGTAAGTATTCCTTTATCAAAACCGAATAAATACAGAATTTTTATCATTAATTTTTCTGGATGTTGTTAAAAGCACGATTTGGAAAGATTCACATGGGATCTAAATACCTTTTATATTTAAAATATAGAGCCTTACAAACCTTATCAACATTGGAATGCTGGATATCCAATAGTAGTTTTCAAAGGGTATTACTTAAATTCGTCCTTTTATATATGCATTAAAGTATTTCGTTTAAAAAATTAATGTAGCCAACCGTAAATTCTAGTGATGAAGATGCGTTCCCTTTCAAAATAAACGCACCTCTCTCTCTCCCCCTCTCTCTCTCTCTCTCATTGATATTAGGAAGGTGTATTTCTGAGAAATATGGATTAATGATTTATCATTTAAAGTTTCCTTAATCCATATTTACTTTGTGGACAGAAATATCTCCATATATTTGATTTCTACAACTGCATTATTTATGAACTAGAATTTGTGTGGGGTTAAATTTGAAATATGATGGATCAATGCTGTTTTCCTTGACAATGAGACCAAATGTATGGAAATTTTTTTCTTCATTTTAATAAAAAAATAAATAAAACATCTAATGATGGTAAGATACTTTTAGTTGACCAATGAAGTCACCAATATCATAAAATTGAAGGGTAGCGGTTATCAAAACAGTGGTCAAGTTTTTACCTCAGATCTATATGCATATTTTTTTATTATTATATTCAATATTTTTATACTAATTGAAATGGTCATTGCATACTTAATCATAATAAAAAGGAGCCTTATTTTCACTAACTGTTAAAAATCTTAACATATCCATTTTATTAATGAAATAAAAGTATGAAGATGAATTGAAAACATCCATATCAAAATATTATTTATGTGAAGTGTTGATTTGAAAAACTGTATCATAAATGTTTAGTATGCTATCATTTAAATAGGAATTTTCTTTGGATTACTTTAGCAAAAGACCCTTTCTGTAGTAATTTCTTTTGGTAATTAAATCATGCCAAAATCACGCTTTGCCTTTATTAGATTTTCTTAGATTTTGTACTTCATCTATTTTGTACATATTGGATTTCATTATAACAAAATAATTTCTGTTGCAGTGAAATTGAGATTGGTCCTACATTTTAGCTAAATTGACTGGATTAGTAGGGATTCAAAACACATCAATTTAGCAATCTGTCTCTGTAACACGGGTCATAGTATTTAAGTTTAATATATCTACTTGCTGCTATGAGAACCACTAATATATACACTTCACATAAGAGGCATTACACATGAAATGTATGGAGATAACGAACAGTATTCAAGCTCAAAAGTACATTAAACAATACAAATTTTGGAGCAGAGCAAACATGGACCTCTAAAACATCAGAGGTGGGATCAGGTACCATGGAGGATCGAGTGAGCATCCCCTGCCGACCGGTCACACCCGCCGTGTGCTCCTTGTCATGATCGGGAAATAACGGAAAAATCCGTTGACAATTCAGTGGTAAATAATGGCCTAACAATTAGTATGAAAAATGTCAGTCAGTCTTTGACTTAATGATAAATTGTATTTGCTGACAAGGTTATTGTATCGACCATAGAACTTACGAAATGACGACTTTAAAGGAGACTGCTGATATTCTTGTTTCATCAACTTGTTTGTCTATAACTTGCACATCTATTACAAACATTCAAAAATATGCATTCAGTGACTTTTTAAAATTCCATTTCCTCTTTGGTATAATAATTGTATATTGGAAAAAAATGCTTTGAAAGGCAGGCGATGCGTTAAAGAAAAATCTGTGAAAATAATGAGACCAAAGGATGCGTTTTTCATAGTGCTACTTATATTTCGTGATGATATAAATTCGTTAATTGCTATCATCAAAACCTCAATTGATTTTTGTTATATTGCTGCACATTTAAGGATTGTAGATGATTCTTCCCATTCGAGTATTCAAAATTTGCTTTGTAATACTATTTTGCTTTTCATCCTTCAATGAATAAGTTGTACACAAAGAATTCATCATACCTTTGAGAATTATTTATCGTCATTTTTCTCGAACGATAGGAGTAGCAAATTTAAAAAGACAGTTTAATAATGAAAAAAGCAAAAATGTACCATCCTTTACTTTATCCGCATAAAAACATAAAGAAAGCATAGAATTTTGTCATGCATTACATTTTGTCTGTCAACTATTTCTTATAACCTGAGCATTTACATGTTATAGTTTATGAAATATTCAAAGTCACAACTCGATGTCTTGCAGAGAAGGTTACTTTGAAGACTGGAATTGAGTTTACTGTGACTTTGCCATCATGATCTAAAATATATTCTACATCTTTTTGTGCTTAATAATCCTTTAGCATTACATATGTCAATAGATTTTTGAACCAAAAAAAGATGTCCTTTTCATTTTATACTTAAGCCGATAATTAAAAACATTCTTTCTACTCCGATTTTTTTTTTACTCAGCATCATTATTGATATTTCTCTCTCAGGTATATAGTTAATAAGTGCAATAGTGTTAGTTGCCTAAATCGCTTTAAAATTAATTGACTTCTGTAAACGTATCGTAATTCTGATAGAGCCCTATTAACACCCAATATACAGGCCTACCATTTCAGTCTAAATCGGAGGACGTGCAGCTAAGCTTTGTTTTGTTAGTTCGCTATATTAAATACATCTTATAGTCGTATTTCTACAGAAAATAACCAATCAATTCCAATACGACCAATGATAAAGTTCGCGCATTGGTTGAATAAAATTGAATTATGTATCTTCGCCCTCGAGTGCCAAGAGGCAGAGTAAATACATAGGATTGTTAGACTACTTTTTAAATCCATATTGCTATTTAATTCATAATCCTTTTGAGGGCTAGATTAACTCTATGCGCTAGCCTGTAGAGAAAATACCAAATGTTATGTGGAGGCAGTGATGTAAGTCAGTGAGACAGATCATATTACACATGTTCACTTTGCTGTATCTCGTTTCCTTTTGGAATATAATATCAAATTCAGGTAAATTAATGATTTTCTTATTTTGTTGAGGATTTTCTATTATGGTCTATTTTTGTGTATTGCTTTATTTTATTGATATTTTAATTCTAATGTATAACTTTTTGTGTAACGTGTTTGAATGAAATTGACATATACCGGACAATTCATGGATATGTTGGTTCAAATTTTATAGCTTATCCCAGGGTAAAACGGTATCTTACATATTATATGGAGTAATTTGAAATGAAATATTTTTAAAAGATATTTTTTCCTTTGTTCTCTTCATAGTTCACCCATTATCTTCTGACCGGAGGAAGATTGGTACATGTAGTTATTGATTGATACATGTAAGATTGAAACCAAAAATAATGTAGCCTCATGTCATTGAAAGAAAGGTTGTTTTGACTTCAAAATATACGTAGAGTTTTGGGAATCAGGCTAGCTTTGAAGATGAAATCATAAAATTTCTTCATCAACAATCTGCCAAATCAATTTTTGTTTCTCTAAAACTTGAGAAAACACTTTGTTATGTTTGGAATCTCCTACGAAAGCATGTATTTATATAGTATCTACATGTAACTACCAAACTTACAGTGATCTCTTTCTCCATTCTATCCTCGCGATTTTGTTGTGGATGGAGTTTTATGGGATTAAGTATCTGAACAACTCTAAATTCACCTTTCCTTTCATTTCTTGGAATACATTGAGTGGCCATGGATGACAAAATATGTTTTAATATCTCGATCTCTTCCTGTTGTCTTTTTTGTCAATAACCTCTACTGTTACATACTTGACCAGACCACAATACTTTCAGACACAACACAACAAAAGTTAAATACCATGGGTTTTATTGTTATGATGGGTGAGGTAATCACGGATTACTTTTAGATTACTGGCGATCCTTTGATAGAGTCATGACGATACACATTTAACAAAAGAAAAATAATATATTGTCTGTGCTTTGGCCTACCTTATATAAAAAAAAATTAGTTTATTAGTCTTACATTTTTTTTATTTCAGGTATTTTTAATTTTATTTTTATTCGTTAGTATTTTGGAAATGAACAAAGATTGTTATTGTACTGTCATTGAACTTGCTCAAGAAATCAATTTTTAAAATCGAAGACTGTCAATTCAAATATTTTGAGCGTTCAACATCCTGTTGGCTGGAATTCAATGTTTTTAAAGAGAATAATAAATTGTCTGCTTGCATGCCATGTGTTATATATATTAAAAAACATTTCATCCCAACAGATGGGTCTTGTACTTTACCAACTCAATGGATTGGTGACTGGTACGATAGTTTCTATGGACAGCTAACGTTTTCTGGTACCTCACTAGCAGGATGGAAATTAACGTCATATTCCTCAATTATCTCTTCATGGTCCTGCGTAGCAGAAGACACATCCAACAATTACTTGCTCTTTCTGTGAGTACAAATACTGCACCATGTTAGTTTAAATAAAGTAAAAGAAATATTTCACCCCAGAGATATGTTCCTTTTTAAGAAGAAATGATAATCTTTTGTAGGGGCGACCAAAGAGTTGATTTATTTGGTACTCAGCAAAATATGTTCCGGTGCATCAAATGGAAAAAGATAACCGACAATTCATACTATTACTACGCACGTGCAGGTATGCATTCTTTTTACTATTATTTACCTCGTTTAGCTGACTTAAACCAAGTCAACAGAAAAAAATAGTATCCAGTTTTCGAGAAGAACGTTTTCCATTAATCTTGTTTGCATTTTAATTTTGTTAAACTGTGAATGAACTATCAAGAACTGTAAGTTACCATAACTCTCACCGCAAATGACTTTTTTATGTTCTCTTGTTAATTGTTTTTTGTTTGTTTTTTAACATGAGTCATTCATTTCTGTACATTAGTTTTCAAAATTTAACAAACAAAACCTGCAATAATTTTAACATGTTAACATGCCTGAATACAAACACTTTATATTTGATATAAAAATTAATTTAATATTCAATATTTTAATTAATATTTAATATTCCCAACAACCAAAATGAATTTGAATTACCAAACCTTTACTACATTCCTGAACTTCGTGAAAATCCTTACAAAAAAGATACATAGCAGGTTCCAATTAAAGTTCTACCAAGCCTCTTTCTTTACTCTTCACTAAAATATTTACTGTAACGAAGGAGAAACTTCAGACTACTTTACAACAGTATATTCGAGAAGTGATGTAAATCAGATGTGGATACTTAAAAACTCCAAGGGACTTCTAGAAAAATTTGAAATCACAAAATTTTACTGAAATCAATAGCATCAAAACGTACGACTTTTCAACACTTTATACAACCATTCCCCACGATAAATTAAAGTCCAGGCTTTTTGATATCATTGACAGTGCTTTTTGAATAAAAATGGAACTCGTAAATATACTTACATTGTCATTGGTCATTTGCAAAATTATTTTGTTGAAAACTTTCTGATTGTACACACAAGTACTCTGAAGTTGATATTAAAAGGATGCTTGAGTTTTCTGATTGACAATATCAATGTAGTTTTTGGCGATCAGGTTTCCATTAATCTGTTGGAATTCTCATGGGTATCAATTGCGCCCCGTTATTAGCAGACCTATTTTTGTATTCATATGAAGCAGAATTTATTTAAAAACTTCTACATGAGAAGAAGAAAACACTTGTTGTGGCCTTCAACGCGACATTTCGATATATTGACGACGTATTATCAATTAATAATAGTTACTTCCATTCATATGTCGACTCGATTTATCCCAGTGAGCTTGAAATAAAAGATACCACAGAGTCTGACACATCTGTTTCATATTTAGATATTTTACTAGAAAAAGACGTTAATGGTAACCTAACAACAAAGCTTTATGATAATCGTGATGACTTCAACTTTTCAATCATCAACTTACCTTACTTATAGAAATATACCCTTATCACCTGCATATGGGGTTTATGTCTTTCAGTTGTTTCGATACGCAAGAGCATGCTCTACGTATGAACAACGAGGCAAGCTATTGACAAATAAGTTGATGAAACAAGGATATCTACAGTCTCGTTTGAAGTCATTCTTTTGCAAGTTTTATGGTCGATACAATGACCTTGTCAGCACATACAATCTATCATTGAGCCAAATGCTGACTGACGTTTTTAATACTAATTGTTAGGCCATTATTTATACACTGAACTGTCTACGGATTTTTTCGTTTTTTTCCCGATAATGACAAGGAGCACACAGAAGGTGTGACCGGTCGGCAGGGGATGCTCACTCCTCCATGGCACCTGATCCCACCTCTAAATTTTGAGGTCCGTGTTTGCTCTGCTCCAAATTTGTATCGTTTCATTGAACTTTCGAGATTGAATACTGTTTGTTATCTTCATATTTCATACAAATAAATTTGAGTCTCACAGAATTAATTTTCAAAGGAGAGTTTTACATGATGATTTTTCGTATGCAGTATTGTGTATCTTTTGGGAAATAAAATATCTGGACGGAATTTCTGCTGCTGGACACAAGACCACTATTAAAAGAGTGATAACTGGAGGGTCTTTTACAATTAGGGTCATGTTTATCTGAGAATCCCAGCTCTAACAATTACTGTGGGTCAACTATTTGATGGTATAAGAAAAGTGTTTAAAAGGTTATTAACAAGGACAAATACAAGGGTACTGAAATTTCATTTTGAAAAGGGAGTTGTTTCCAGAGTCATGTTTATACATCGTGTAGAACTAATAGCACTGAAAACTCTATAGGAAAAAGGATTCAATGTATTAAAATGGCCATTGTTTACAATCTTTTTAACTTCACAGTTTGTTATCATAATGGCCAAAAAAAACAAACAAACAAACAATATATTAAAAAAAAACAAACAAGAAAATTGTATTGTTTTGTATTCATGACTCAGTGATTCGAGGACGCTACCCCTCCATTAGATTAGTTTCAATATTTTTTTTTTATTTCAAGGAACAGTATTTCCAAATTCCAAAAAATATAATAGGGTAATATTCAAAATCCTTTTTAAAATCCTTTTCTTCTACATTTTATATCCAATTTCAATAAATCTTCAGCAGTAGACCAAAGCAAAATATATAATTCTTTGTATTGATTTTTTATTTCAATGAACGATGTACCCTTGTTTTTTTTTTTTTTAATTAGATGATTAAATGTATTTCGTTCGCAACGCTTATTCTCCTAGAGTGTTGGTTTAATTTCGATAAACTTGGTACTTGGAAGACTATACATAGGCCCTTAATTCTGTGAATTGATTTCAATTTAGAAGATACATAATTTAATAAAAAGCTAAAAAAAAAAAAAATAAATAAATAAAAGCGTTTCGATCTATCCGCACTTTTTCCTTTACAACATTATTAGTTCAAACCAATAGAGCTATCATCTCATCAGAGTCATCTGGTTCTTTATTTTTGACAATTGTAATAGAATAAATATATAAAACGAATTCAAGGAAATGTAGTATATCGAACAGTATAAAATTTCGGACAAACCATTTTCAAGAGGTCATTCGTCCTCTAAAAGGTAAAACTGAGAGAATTTTGTTTTCTGTTGGTGATATATTTACAACTATATTTTTGAAATTAGATGTTGAAGCAAACGCAAACAACGCCCGCGTTAAGGTGGAGTTCCATAACCCGTCAGTGACGTCCTGGAATGCAGCTTCTTATTGTAACCCTTCGTCAGGACCAGGACCCGAGGAATACCACGTTCTTCTAAAGAAAGGTATTCTTTACAATGAATGACTTTATGAAATTCTAACGTGCTGAATTGGTTTTGTTATAATCTTCACCATTCAGATATATATCGGCATTGATTTTGAAGTTAGTATTTCAGCAAGTTTGTATTGATTTTAGGTTCAGAATTGCTGACGAAGCAATGGTGCCCTATACCACTCCTCGGAACATTTCGCTACATTCATAACGACGGGTCAACCGACGTATGTTCTGCCGACTCCCAGATGAATGTGTGTCCAAGCTGGACAACGATTTACTTCGATTACACCAAATGTTCAAATACCCAAGCATTTTCCCGTATGCATCACTGTTTAACAATATGAAAGTAGATTTTGTCAAGAGAATAGATTTTGGAGATTTAAGATTTCTAGGAAATCCTAAATACGATAAAAAAAACCTTTCATATTTAAACAAATTTTCAGAAAATAGACTTAGACTTATTTATTCATGGCTGTACTAACTTAATTTTACACGCCCAAAGACACACGTTTTGTCTCTAGCATGTTGTTTTGCCCACATTATAGCCCATCATTAAAGTCTTTGGTATACTGATGTTAACTGGTGAATACTAGTATGCATTCTCTTCGGATGAAATTTGCTTCATTCTATTCGATTAAGCTGACACAAATATATATCATATAATAGATGATATATAGCGGACACAGATATGAATTATTTTATATAATCTTCTGAATTCTGTTCTTCATCTACATACATTTCATATTTCATATGATATTTCACTTTCCTAGTTAGTACACTATTTTATAATATATATTAAATTTCACATTCCTCGTTACAACTAGTGTATGTGTGATAAGAACAGAAAGTCTATCAACAATCTAGATGTCTGCTGACAGTATTACTATATTATCACACTAAAAATGTTTTCTTATATAATCCAATGAAAATGTTATTGTGACCCCACCTTATTCACTAGGCCTGGGTTTAAACAAACAATTGTTTTGTGGTAATTAATAAGTACAAGTCTTTCGTACATAGTGTATGGCATGATAGAAAATCTTTGATTGTGGTTGAAGCCATTGTGGGTAGCCTAACTACGTAGAATCTGAAAATAATCGCGTTGCAAGAGTTTTCCTGTTTTTTTTTATTATTGAACTGAAAAGCCCCACTTCGAAGGATAGTCACTCTTGATTTTCGAGAGAGAAGGTTCAGTAAAAGACCTCAATTATAAATAATTTCGTTTGGTATGAAATGTAAACAAGAAAACTATCGCTTTATTCTCGAAAATTGAGTCCTGTGTAGATTTTTTGTATTAGCTTCACACAGTGTTTGATGCACATTGTACCTGGCTTGACCTTATGTTTGCTGTACTCTGTGCCTAGTTTGAGCTTATGTTAATGCATATTGTACCTAGCTGAATGTTGTTGTATATTGTAGAGGAGGGAATTGTATATTGCGTGAACACAGTCCAGAATGGTGACGTTTATTACACAACATTGTACAACCCTGGAGTAGTAGACAATAGCCTTTATCATAGGTTTACATGTTACGTAAGTGATGTTTATATCAATTGTTGTTTAAATAATTTTCAAGGATGTTTCATTCTGGTAATATTTGCATCAATAATTAAAATGAAAAAAAGACATCAGTAGAATGTGTTGTAATTCAGTGGTTACTTTGAGGAAAAACTGAAAGGGCTGAAAAAGTACTAGCCGCGCCCTTATGATAAGCTTCATTAATTGTTTTATTTTTTGAAATGTAAATTACAGTCTCTCTCGGAATCCAGTTCCAGTTTCTACGTAAGTGACAGTCCTGGTATTTGTGAAGCAGGACAGGCTCCTAGCACGAAGGCATCGGATGGCAGCGGCTTATTGACATTGAATAGAACCTGTAAGTAAATCAACAGTGTATAGCTTAAAGGATATTGATGAAATTTTTTCAAAGCATTTTTCATTTTTTCCAGTCTATCAAACATACACTTATTCAACCTTTAAAAGGCAAAAAGGCTCTTGATATATAAAATATTGAGTTTTTAGTCCACATTTCATTAATATTGTATAAAAATGTTGTTCATGATATTGATTGAACTGTAGCCTTTTTGTGTTCCAGATTCATGCCGTGAGTATTATTTATTTATCATAAAGTATACGATTTATGCAGTCAAGTAAATCAATTTTTGTATTCTGAATTGTTATCCGATGACATTTTAACACAAAAAAGTAATGGTTGCATATTTCATCAGTAAAATACTGTCATCAGTAACTTGTTTTATTTTTATGGTCTGACTTAAATATTCAAACTATTTTAGATGGCCTATGTTATTTTCCCTCTACTTGGGATGCCGAATGGTATGACAGCGGAATGGGAAATATCACTCTCGACAGAAATACATATAGTGTCCTCTCAGGCTGGACTTTTACTGTGCATGGAACGCAAATGAAATCGTGGACTTGTCAAAATCAGCTAAATAGCACTGATACCATGCTTTTTAAGTAAAACATTCTCATGAACATTTTTGTCTGTATAATTCTGTTTTTCAACTTAGCTTTTAATGATTTTTTCCAAATATACATGTATTCAAAAGATAATAAAGTGCATAAATCATTTTTTCAATTAATCTGTTATACATTTCTGTAGATCTGACCAGTTTGTTGAAATAAATTTTGAGAAGTACAACGTCTTTAGGTGCATTAGATATACACGACTCACAGATTACTCCTATATTTATTACGTTTTGAATGGTAAGATAACTATTGAAAACCGTTTACTGATCATATTTTTGAGATCATAGGTGCTTTGATAGTTTTATGAGTATGATACATTTTTTAGATGTGGAGACTAATGCAGGCAATCATCGGGTGCTTGTTGAAAAATACGACCCTTCAGTTAACAGATGGGATCCTGCTTCTTACTGTAATCCAACAAGTCCCCCAGGAAAGGAGGAGTACCACGTGCTTGTTAAAGCTGGTGAGGCTTAAATCAAGAGAACATATGACTTCGGCTTTCCATCGTCAACTTTCCTTATTTTTGTAGGAATATGCTGCTATCACCTATATCTCTCATCTTATTCGATACTCAAGAGCATACTCTGAGTATATTTTTAATCCGAGGCAGGCTACAGACAGATAAGTTGATGTTACACGGATTTCAACAGTCTCGTTCAAAGTCAGCTTTTCGAAAATTCTATGGTCATAATAATGACTTGTTAGCAAATAAAACTATCATTAGATCGAATTTTAGCTGACGTGTTTCATACCAATTGTTAGGCTTTTGTTTTTATACTAAACTTGACTGCGTAATATTCCGTCTACCTGATTACATTGTCACATATAATGTGATTTTATCAGTTTGGGATTTTTTTGTTTCAGGGTTTACAAATGAAGTAAAGCAATGGTGTCCTGTCCCGCTATTGGGAAAGTTTACCTACCAACACAACGACGGATCCAGTGTTACGTGTTCCTCTTCTTCTGACGTCAGAGTTTGTCCTGATTGGACAACGATGACGTTCAATTACAGCTTATGTAGCACAGTCCAATCATTTTCCCGTATGTCCAAAAATAATCAATGTTGATATGTGAAAAATATTCCAATTATTTTCATTCAGATTCCTCCCATATTTTTTATGCTTTTCTTCAGAGGAAGGAAATGTCCATTGCATACATTCAATAACATCCGGCTCTACATATTACGTAACTGTTTTTAACCCTGGATTTGTGGATGGTACACAATATCACAGATTTTCCTGCTACGTATGTTTCCTATAATTACATGGCAACTTCATTATTTCCAAATTAAAAAGAGTTTCTAAATTTTTATCTGTTCAAAAAATTTCTGGTACATCTTAGGTAATTATTAGAGCATAAAAACCAATATGAAAATACTATCGATACTTAAAAAAATACATTTGTCATTTAAATCATAATAGTATTTTTTAAAATAATTCAGATTTTCAAATTTTTTATTGAAAATAATTTAAAAAAAAAAAGCTTTGCATCAGAAATTACTTATGATAAATCGGAGAAATACTCTCTTAAAATATATAAATTTATTGTAAATTCAGTAAAAAAAAAAAAATTAAAATCCTAAATAAAAAGATAGAAAAGCAATATTTAGGCTTTGGCATCGAGCGGTTCTGTACTCCACATGAGCGACAGCGCTGGAAGTTGTGAGATGGGACAGTCACCGACCGTTAAGCAATCTGATGGCAGTGGCACCCTCACCTTAACATCATATGGTAGGAGAATTACATCTACCTATAATGTAATACCCAGTATGCCAGAACATAAATGACTACTTTAAATCTTACAGATTAAGGTTTCATCGTTGAATACTTCGTTTTCTATTTATAATTAGGTTTTGTGTTAGATTTTTTTGGCCAGGTAATTAAGAAGGGTTCGTGGTAAGTATTATATCAAGTATAAACAAATGTAACAGATTATTTATACCAAGTTGTATGTTTCTTTCAGAATCTTGCCGTAAGTAGACATGTTTATATTATATCACTCCTATAATGAATCATCATGAAAATTGAAGAACATATCCTTTTATTGATAAATTAAATTTCTGTGAAATTTAGGGAAAAGTATTTTGTGTGTATTGATATTAATAATGCCATTCGTTTACGTTGATGATGTTATTTTGTTGATCTTTGATGTCTTCAGTGTTTGCTTTTGCTTTTTGCTTTGGGGAATCTTATCATTTCTGCACATATATACCTCATATAAACTGTTTTATTAAAAGAATGTTGGCAGATATTTATCTCAGATTACTCAAATTTAATTTAAATTTAAATTTGAATTAAATTTAAAAGTAATCATTTAAGAACACAATTAAAATGAGCATATTTTGTTTATTTTTTTTTTTAAATTTATTACAAATTTTACAAATGTTTATGTGTGTGGGTGTGTTTTATTTATTTAGATGGGTCCTGTACACTGCCTTCAGACTGGAATGGTGCGTGGTTAGACACAGAAAAGGACAGTATATCTTTTGAGTATACGAGTAACAGAGTAACCAGCGGCTGGTCCATTACAGCTTACAATGAAACAGTGTCTGCATGGACATGCCATAATGACAACACCACCAAGAATTACCTTTTGTTCAAGTTAGTCCATCGATTGTCCTATTTCAGTATCACTTTAAAACACAGCTGTATTCAGTTCAATAGTTGAGTGCTGCAATATGCTAAAAGAGATATGAAATAATATTTGTTCAAGTGTTTGATTTGAATTTTCAGGGCTGATGACCTAATTGATGTTTCTGGTACTAAGTACAATGTTTTCCGCTGCATAAAATGGAAAAAGCTTACTCCCGACTCTTACCGATATTATATCCTAGATGGTAAAATCAACATAAATCAATAGTTTTAAGTAGATATAAAAAAATTTATTACTTTGATATCCTTATTCAGATTAACCACAATACCACCAAATAACAAACATATTTTATTTTTCGTGATAAAATCGCAAGAAAATCAGTTAAACCTTATCTTGTCTTGATCACAATTACTTCTCTGAGTTTTCTGTGTTCTTTTTACAAAAGACGTGAACTTTGCTGCTAACAATGACCGTGTCCGTGTGGAGACATATGACCCCACCGTAACCACATGGAGTATTGACACTTACTGCTCCCCCACATCTGGTCCAGACTTGGAGGAGTATAACGTTATAGTCAGACAAGGTTATTCTACTGCAGATATTTCATATTAGTGTTAAAGTTACTTAAATTTATAATTTTGTTAGAATTTGTTTCTGTTTTGTACACCAATTAGGTTGTTTTCCTCATTATGTTCTAGATTTTGTAAATGTATTTATTTATTTAAAAAAAAACTATTATCTGTTTTCTTCAGGGAAGGAAGCTGATGTAAAGCAGTGGTGTCCCATACCGCTACTGGGTTTGTTTGTATATTCACACAACGATGGTACCACTATCACGTGTTCAACGAATTCTCTTCTTAATGTCTGTGATGCTTGGACAACGTTGACTTTTGATTACACAAAGTGTCCAACAGTTCAAGCCTTCTCAAGTATGTCTGGCAAAAATAACAACTTTTTTTTCAAAGAATTCTTTATTTCTTGTTCAATTAAATTCTTGTTATGCTTTATCTTGAATTAAAAAAAATGTTTTCTAAAGGTACAATTTATATCATTATTAGGCGAAGGTATTGTTTACTGTATCGATACGGTCAAGAAAGGTTCCACGTATTACACCTCTGTGATCAATCCAGGATCTGTAAACAACATAACCACCAAGAGATTTACCTGCTTAGTAAGAATTCCAATTTGCAAGTTAATTTGATTCCCTTTATCATGATGTTAATTATAAACAGATTTCAGTATATATATATTGTTTTCATCAGTCTTTTAGTGAATCCGGAGATATTCTGTATATGAGTGACAACGCAGGAGGCTGCTCGAAAGATCAGATACCAACAGTTAAACAAATGGAAGGCAGTGGCACATTAATATTAACAAAACAATGTAATTTTTTTAATTAATTTTTTTCCCCACAGATCTATGTTTAAAGTCTTAAATTTACGATAAGATTTAAACTTTTCATAAATTAGCTATATACTATAGTACATATATTAACATTCCGCTTTTTAAAATTCTTTTATCATTATTATTTTTTAGCTACATGCTGTAAGTATATCTTTTTATTAGTTTTTTTAAATCATGTTTTACTATGTTGAAATGTTTATTATTGAAATATATTCGAAATATTTTTTCGATTTGCTTTTCTTCTTGTTTGTAACAAAGTACGTTCTCGAATTAGATTTATTGAATTCGATGTTCCAGATGGCAACTCGTGTTCTCTGCCAAGTGACTTTGTTTCTGATTGGTTCGACAGTGGCAAGGGCAATATGTCTTTTGCAAACTCCTCTGTAATTGGATGGGAATTGACAGCATACGGAGATCACGTGTCCTCTTGGACCTGTCAAGACAATGCAAACGGACTCTACTTATTCAAGTAAATAATATATATTTAGTTCTGTATATTCTTTATTTTGTAAAACCCTCTCAGAATATATCAAAGAACAACTTTCAGTTTTCATCAATAGTTTTCAACTTTCTCTTTTTTTAGAGGTGACAAAATTCTCGACACAAGTAGTGGATACAAGAACGCTCTAATATGTATTGACGTGAAGAAACTCACGCCTTATTCCTACCAATATTATGTCAGATCAGGTACAGTTAAACACCATTTATCTTTCTCAAACACTTTTTGAGTAACGTAACATACAATAATAATTTTACACTTTCATTTCATTGTAGACACTGATTCCAATGCAAGTAATTTAAGGGTCTACATAGAGACCCACAACTCCTCAGTGATGTCGTGGAATACGTCAGACTACTGTACACCAACGTCTGGTCCACTAGTAGAAGAGTATCATGTAATAGTAAGAAAAGGTAAAATACAAGTTTCTTTATGCTTAAGAAGGCTGTATCTGCTAGTATTTTTGGAACAATATATTGTCTAAATTTAATCAGTTTTTATGATGTGTTAAGTCATTTTTGTATGAGGTGCTATTTAAATGTTGATTTTTTTTCCAAGTGAAAATGCTTATTCTTTATTGTCATCCCGTTTATCTTTATTAAGATATCAATGATTATTAGTCAGAATGTTGTAATTAAAATAGGCATACTTGCTAATGTTTTAAAATACCCTGGATAAAATATAAAAAAAAAATCATACAATTCGAGGTAAAGTGATACTCCAGTTAATGTATTTTGTACAGACTTTTGTTTTTTTAAATAAAGACATTAATGAAAGAAAATTTCGATGCTGATTTTCCCTTCTGACAAAAAATTTCTTAAATTTCTTACTCTAACTTCTGGTATGATACCGTCATATTTTCCTGAAGGGTATGAAAGTTCTGTGAAACAGTGGTGCCCGATACCTCTTTTGGGAAATTTCACGTACACTCACAATGACGGCACGACGACCACTTGTAGCGGAAATTCAGGACTGACTGTCTGTCCGAGTTGGACGACGATGGAATTTGACTATTCAAAATGTCCCACAATACAAGCATTCTCAAGTACGATCATTTTGTTTCAAACTTTATTTGAATTAAATAATTTGCGTTTAATAAATCTGATATTCAATATTTATCTCATTTCCTGTATTTGTAAGGCGAGGGACAGGTAAACTGTGTGCACAGTACATATGGAGGATCAACTTTCTATACTACAGTACTAAGTCCAGGAATTGTGGATGATGTAAACTATTACAAGTTTACATGCTATGTAAGAAGTTATCAATCTTTAAAAGTCTTATGCAACCTACTTTTTTTTCATTTTCTAACAACTTGATTCTAAGTAAGAACTGTATGATTTTTTTTTCAGGCAATATCATCAACAGGTAGTTCTGTATATTTGAGTGATAGCCGTGGAATGTGTGAAGCGGGACAAACGTCAACTGTCAAACAGAGTGACGGTAGCGGTACTCTTACTCTGACCTCTACGGGTGAGCAAACCAACGGAAGTATACCATATATTTGTGTTTTTATGGACAATTAATTACGAATTCAAATTCATAATTCACCTTTTTATATTTATACTATTTTATTTATCTTTTACAGAAAACTGCTGTGAGTAAACTTTATAATCCATGCATATTAGGAATTTTCATTGCTATGACTAAACATAAATACTAGCCTTGTTATATTTCAATCAGGTTTTTTCTAGTGCATTATTACTTATGATTTGCAGTATTCATTACATAGTTTGAATAGAAAAATAACATGATCTAACGTAATAATGCGTATAGAGGTGCATTCATAAAAAGAATTAGACACTGAATATTTAAATCAGATGGATCCTGTACTTTTCCGTTGGATTGGGACGGCAAATGGTACGACAGCGGAAATGGAAACATTACATTTGACAACTCTACATCAATGGTCAGTTCGGGTTGGTCTGTAACAACTCATGGCACAACACTGAATTCCTGGACTTGTCTTGCTAGTAACTCAACAGCAAAATATCTGTTATTTAGGTAGGTATACAGTAATAGAGCAGTGGTTATATCCTTACTACCCTTTATGCTAGTTATATCCTTATGTTGATGAAAAAGTTGCAATAAGTTATGCATCATAATGTAAACTTTCAGGGCCAGACATTTGTGCCAATAAATTAATCCAATGTGACATACTCTTATTCAACTTTTTTTGCAAGATGTTGACTATACTGAAAAACATTCATAAGTCAGCATGCCATGAAAGGTTTCGCCTTTACAATGGCATGAAATTTTAAAGGAAACTTTCATTTTTGCAAAGAAGTTAGCAGAGATTGAAAATTCTTATATGATGCTAGTATATAACCCAAACAAATATATGAATCTTATCAATTTGATATGCCACTACCTAATGCATAGGATAGAATTTTGCGTCAACACATTAATTTTGAAATTATTTTAGGATATATATGATATATCAATGGCAGCTTGAAGACACCATAGAAACAGATAATCTACATAAACATCAGCGAGCTGCTTAAGCTATTATAATCACTTTTCCAAATGTAACATTACTTTTTCGTAAAAGTGGTGTAATTTTCTATTTTTTTAGCAACGAAAACCGACGAAAACAAAAAGAAAAATTGTCATTGTATAAATATATCATTCTGTCAACATCGTATGAAAAACAATTATACCATACTGCTTTTTTATATTGTCACAATATATGAGTTTGTGACAAGAAAATATGTTGACATATATTTCAGAAGGCAGCATGGAATGTCTAACCAGTATTAAATTGATAATATATATAATATTAATTGAATATTATTAACAAGAGTGATACGACCTAACCAAAAATCTAACTATTATCAATTTGAAATATTAATAAAATGCCTAAAAAATCAGGTCAAAACGTCATTACTCAGGGCATCATCTCACAAAGTCAATGGCAAAACATTAAACCATGTTCAACATATATGAGGTAAGCTATGATGGATGCGATCAACATATGATAATGCAATTAATGTTGATTTGACCTGATAGCTTATACGTCTCTTTAGAACTTCAAATTTATTACGGTTATATATGTTGCCATATTATATTAGCATTGTGTTTGTGTGTGTGTGTTTTTTCAGCAAAAATTGACAGTTTGCAAAATGAGAAGTCGTAGTCGCACAGATAGTATTAATTGAATGTTATTATTTGATATAATGTGCCTTAGTTTGATATGCCGCATTGTGTTAACGACCTAAACAATAGTATCAAAATCTCGACTTAAATTTAAGATCTAATTCAAATGCAATCCATCGTCATATCTTATTCAGGTATTCCTAATAAGTATGGCAAAATACCATGCATGGAGACAATTTTTTTTAACCAGTCAAAAGATTTGTGTATTGTACTTCAAAATGTATTAAGAGTTATCTTTCGTTATAAATTGCAGATAAAATTTAACTCAAATTTAATTAAATAATAGATACAAAACATCAAAACAAGATGTCATCATATCCAATAACGTTATTGTAACGTTTCAATATATTGCATTTGTGTTCTCAACAATCAATGACAAATTAAAGTCATCATACTATGTAATTGTTTGTAACCTATACTTTTGATTCGTTATTTTTTTTTTAGCAGGAATTGTTGATCCAGTTTTCAGAGTTTTTAGATAAAGGTTAACTCATTAAAATATCTCTGTGAAACATGATTGTGAAATATAATATTTTATCAAGCATAATCTAAACACTTTTACAATTTTTCCATGTATTAAATGTACCGCCATTTTTATTTATTTATTTATTTATTTTATTTTATTTATTTATTTTTTTGATGTTCAAAATTAAAGACAGCATTACACATATATATTAAAGATGATAATAAATATTAGGTATCAAAATTTTTTACCACTATAGCCAGAAGATAATTCCATGACATACAATAGTATATAATTTTTTTGCACATTAACATGTTTAATATGTTCCTCACCACAAATTACAATACACGAGTAGCTTAAAAATGACATTTATATAAAAAGTATATAAGTATGTAATACTTACTGTATTTATTTTTTTTTTTTAAAAAAGTTGCACCTTGAATATGTGAATACCATTCTATAACAGCTGTGGAAAATAACTTGCATATATTTGGTGGCATAAATATGTCATTGCAAACATCAGCTGAAACAAATAATTATAATTTCTACTAGCCTGGCAAGATTAAATGTTTCCATTATTTTTCAGAGCTGATACATTTGTTGAATCTTCTGGAGTTCCTCAGAATGCATTCAAATGTATAAGATGGGAGAGAATATCGGATAATTCCTATATATATCATATCATGGCGGGTAAGGAAAAAAAGAACTTAATTTTTCGATATAAAGATAGTATATATAACATGAAGATCAGAGAAATTACCTTTATTTTTCATTTTATTCCTTTCAAAATTTATAGACAAGATAGGGAGCGGTGATCGGTTACATATAGAACCTTACGACTCCTCGGTAACAACTTGGTCAGCTGACGCGTATTGTAATCCGTCGTCACCCCCACCTACAGAGGAATTTCATACCCTTGTGAAAGAAGGTTAGTTTTCTTGTTTATGGCATGTTGTTAAATATGTTTAGTTCCTTGCAAAATAAATTGAAAAAAAATATCATTTTTAAAGACAATCTACCATTACGACATCTTTATAAAAATGATTAAAGCAGAGACATGAAACGTATGATCGTTATAAACTGATAATTTAGGTAAAGAATCAGAAGTGAAGCAATGGTGTCCAGAGCCACTAAGAGGGACATTTAGTTATTCCCACAACGATGGGTCATCCGTTACATGCTCTTCAAATTCGGACCTTTCTGTATGTCCAGAATGGACAACAATGACATTTAACTATGCACAGTGCCCTACAATACAGGCCTTCAGTCGTAAGTAAAAAAGAATTCTCTTGTAGCACGTTAATACCCTATGATTTTGTTACAATAGAAAAACTTTTAATGTTATTTACTTGCAGAGGAAGGCATTGGACACTGTGTGTATTCCAAATTAGTTGGTGCCACTTACTTCGTCTCCATTCTGAATCCAGGAATTGTGAACAGCCCAACCTACAGTAGATTTACCTGTTTTGTGAGTGTTATTTAAAAACCAAATACAGTATGTTGATCAGGTACTTTTTTAATATTTTAATCAAACTGTTGTATACAGAACATGTAATAAGTAATTTACTAAATTCAGGCTTTGAGTGAGAGTGGAAGCCAGGTCTTGATGAGTGACAATGCTGGAAGCTGTGCATCTGGACAGAGTCCTTCTGTAAAACAGAGTGCTGGTAGTGGGGTACTGACACTAACCTTGAAAGGTAAGAGGGATACAGAAATTCTAATATGTCTATTTAATCGTGACCATGTCAACTTACCATGTATGTACAATTTGTATTTTATCTTTTGTAGATTCTTGCTGTAAGTATTTCTTTTATTTTATTTTATTATTTCTAAGCAGATAAATATGCATTTTGCTAACTTAACTGATTTTTTTCTGTATATCCAGTATGCAACTTGCTTACGATACATACATCTTATTAATTATGGCTCTTTTTTACATACTTTGCGGTGTAGTTGGTAGTTGTCATTTTCCGGGAACTTGGGATTCAGAGTGGTATGACAGTGATAATCAGGAAATCACTTTCAACTTGACAAAACGGAAAATAGAATCTGGATGGACGGTTTCTATTCACGGATCCTCAGTGACTTCCTGGACCTGTCAGACAAACACCACAGACAGCAACTACCTTCTCTTCTTGTCAGTATTTCTTCTGGCTTTGTTCTTATCAGTATTTCTGACTTTGTTTGGGTGTAAAGTTTATCAACTGTTTTACAGCACTACTTTAGAACAAAGAATTCCGTTTCAACTATTTCCAATATTTTAAATGAAAGACTATTGCATCTGAATGCAACTACCTTCTGAGTACATAAAGTCCAACTTCATTTCTATGGCTTTTAGGAGAAGTTTGAAACATTTCATTTCTTTCCAGGGCTGATCAACAAATTGACGTTTCTGGAACCAAATACAACGTCTTCAAATGTATACAATATGAAAGGATAACAGACTTTTCCTATAAATACTTCATTTACAATGGTTAGCACCACTCATGCTTCAATTGATTTCATTTGTCTCTGGGAAACATATTAGACATTATAAATCTTCCTAATTCTTTAATAGATCGGGAATCCAGTGCGGGAAACTCCAGGCTTACGCTAGAAAAATACAATCCATCCGTAAATTCATTCAATATGTCTGCATTATGTAGTCCGAATTCACCACCTTCACTGGAAGAATTTCACGTTATCGTCAAAAAGGGTAGGTTGATTTGCTAATATTTTGTAAAATACTGACTAAAAGAAAAATAATGTTTTCTTTTATTATAAATTGCATTCATTATTTTAAGGATATGAGAATGTTGTGGGTCAGTGGTGCCCCACACCTCTTATTGGGACTTTTAATTATAAACACGACACCGGAAGTGTCGTCACATGTAACTCTGCATCCAACCTTGACGTTTGCACCAACTGGACTACTCTTGTATATGACTATACGAAATGCCCAACAATACAAGCCTTTTCAGGTACGTTCTAGAATTTGAAACACATTTTCCGTTAGATATAACTCTAGTTGGTTCAGATGTATGAATTGCTTGACAAACGTACATGTATAAGTCTGTTTCATACTTCAAGCTGAAGGGATGGTAGAGTGTGTCTACACACAGATCGTTGGATCTATTTACTATGTATCTGTCTTTAACAACGGAACTGTAGATTACAGCTCATATCAACGATTTACTTGTCTGGTAAGTTGGATTAACTGAATATATAGAGAGGCAAATGAGGCAAACAAGAAGGAAAATCTTGATTCTTTTTTCCCAAAAATCTTTTGGAGACACTAAAGATTATTATTTAGAAAAAGGGTATCATAATAGAAATGAAAAGAAAAATTTCTAACCAATGTAAAATTTGATATATGAATGAACTCTGCTTCAGGCCTTAGAGGATACTGGGAGTATTTTGCGGGTCAGTGACAGTGCTGGAAGTTGTAATGTGGGACAATCCCCAACAGTAAAGCAAGCTGATGGATCTGGAACCTTGGAAATATCACCAAAACGTACATATTTTTTGTCAGTCTTCTTTTCAATGAATAGCTCTTATATGTAAAACTTCTGTTCAATTAAACATTAGGCTTACATTTAGCATTCTTGTATTAACTTTTGGTTCGTTTTTTTTTCAGAATCCTGTTGTGAGTATTAAAACAATTATATTATGAATAATATGGATATTAACTCAGATATATACACGCTTATGTGTATATTCCGATGGTAAGTTGACATCGCAATAAAAAGGCTTTTAAATTTTAGATGGAAATTGTACATTACCATCCGCTTGGGATTCTAACTGGATAGATAGTGGTCATGGTCAAATTCTTTTCAACCAATCGGATGCTCGAATTGTATCAGGGTGGTCAGTTACAGTATATGGTACCACTGTGTCTTCCTGGACCTGCCACGCTTCCAATTCAAGCTCCTCATCCAACTCCGGAATGTCCCTTTTCAAGTTAGTCTATATAATGAAAAAAATATTTCCCTTCAAATGCTTCATTTCTATCAAATCATTCGTATATATCTTTACTAGTTGACTTTTTGGTGTCATTGGTGCATTTCAAGTTAAGATACATAGAAATGTGATTAAAAATGATTATAATTATATTTGACAATTTATTTTCATGAATTTTGTTATTTTTATTCGTTTTATTTATTCAATTATCACTGAACTGTACATAATTCAATTCTAGAAAAAAAGTAATACAATTCCTAAAAAAACTCAAGTTAAGACTTTAGAAATACAATATATCCCTTAGGATTTTTTTTCTTTAAAATACTGTTTAAAGAGTATACTTGCATGTTTTGTATCTTGCTAACTATTTGATTGTTGATGGTTTTTACTACCTTTACAGAGCAGATAAAACAATTTCCTTCAATGACAAAAAATACAACGTTTACCGTTGTATAGAATGGACGCAAATTACCAACCATTCATTTTCCTACTATGTCCGGCAAGGTGACGTCTTTAATTTTAAATGATGCTGTATTTATTGGAGAAGTAAATTATTTTGAACATAATTATTAAGTTATTTTCTTCCTGATTTGGCATTTAGATGAAAGCAGTCTGACAAGTAATCAACGTTTTCTGGTGGAAGAGCACAGTCCGTTCGTGACGTCATGGGATCTGGAAACTTATTGCAAGCAGACTAGCTCAACACCCATAGAGGAATACCATGTTTTAATTCAGGAAGGTGGGCAGGGAAAAATCATCTCATTGATCTACTCGAAGATTACTTACTTAGGCTCAGTTGTAGCGTTTATTTAGTTTCTTTAGGTCTATTAAAAAGCAAAATGAATGAAAATGAAAATATTGATTACACGGAAGAAATGATACTTTGTATTTGAGTTTACCAGAGTATACTTGTCCTAACAAGTAGAGACTTGCATTTCAAGGCGACACAACCCTGTTTTATGCATTATATATATATATATATATATATATATATATATATATATATATATATATATATATATATATATATAGATATACTTAAAAGAAAGAAACGACTTTACTTTACCCCAGAAAAACGCGCTAAAATATAGTGTCGCCGTAGGCGACTTCAATATATATGAGATCGCGTGAGCGATCGAAAAAAATAAAAAAAGTATGAGGTTTCAAGCCTTTTTGATCCCAAAATCGTATTCTACGGTTAAAAGTTTAGTTTAAAACTTCGTTTTTAAACGAAGTTTTTAACCACGTTCTCTGAGGAAAGTAATAAATATTGTTCATTCATTGAAAAGGAGACCAAAAAAATAATTGTCAACGACGCATGCGGCGCATGCTTAGTGCCGTTCCTTTCGTACTTAGCCGTTTTTTTCATGTAAACAAACCAATGAGATGTCGTTGAAGCTGAATTAAGATCTTACAAAAAAATGAATTTCCTAATTAATCTAAAAAAAACAAGACACTAACCCTAATCTCTCGGATAGTATGCGAGGACTAACCCAAATCTCCCGGGCGGATGCTAGACTAACCCATGTGCGAGGACTAACCCTAATCTCTCGGATGGATGCGAGACTAACTCTAATCAGTCGAAAACTTGTGCAAGGACTAACCCTAATCTTTCAGGTGGGTGCAAGACTAATCCAAACCAGTCGATAAATGTGTAAAACTAACCCTAATCAGTTGAGTGACGTAAATCTTACGTCATAGTGCAATGAGCGCGCGGATCTTGCGGATCTGGGGACCGGTGAAGTAAAGTCTACCCAAAATAAAGAAAAAAACACGAAAAACCTCAGTAAAGCTTTAGGCCTTTCACTCTATCTTCAGAAGCTTTACAAAATAAACAACAGTAGTTACATAGTAACGTTCACAATGATACGCGGAGTATATGACGTCGTAATTGTGAAGTCAAATATACTATGACGTCATAGTCAATTGCTCTTTGCGTTCAGGTAAAAAGTTCGGGAAAAATTCAATAAAAATACTGATATACATATGCATACATAATTAAATTGATATATATATTAAATCAGATTGTTTAGCTTTGGTTGCAACGTACAAATAAAATGTTTTTCTTTTTGACGTCTACAAATATCATTTCCTCCTGTTACTTTATAAAAAGGAAATATCTTAAATTTCTTTTGTCCACACACGTCTAAATGTTCACTAAGTGGTATCTGTCTGTATTCTTCATTATTACATGTATAATGCATAAAACAGTGTCGTGTCGCCCTGAAAAGTATAATGCATAGAACAGTGTCGTGTCGCCCTGAAAAGTAACTATCTTCTTGTTAGGACAAGTATACTCTGGTAAATTTGGTGGGTGGGTGGGTATGTATTATTTTCAATAACAATATTGAAAAACTATGAAAAGAAAACACAAAAATCCTCACTAAAGATTAGTGCTTCCATTACATTTTCAGAAACTTTACTTACATATTTTTTATATTCATTGTTTCTACATCGGAATTAATATTTCTAGGGTACGAGTCTGACGTGAAGCAGTGGTGCCCTGTTCCACTTAGGGCTACATTTAACTACACCCACGACGATGGCACCACTGTCACCTGTGGAAGTCAATCCAGTCTTAGTCTGTGTCCAGATTGGACAACGATGACCTTTGATTACAGCCGCTGTTCTACTGAGCAAGCTTTCTCAAGTACATTGGCATTTAAATTACATGTATTGAATACGAAAGCATCAATGTCAAGTATTTCCATATAATTATTCCATTAGTAATTGTTTAGAATAGCATCCAAGTTGCTTTTTCAATAGATTTTAAATTTTCAAACGGTTTTACCACTGCACAGCCGTAATAGATACAGATACGAATCTGGTTTTTCAACATTTTTCGTGCTTGTTTTCAGAGGAGGGCATCGTTCACTGCGTCCATTCTGTGTTTGACGGAGCATCGTTTTACACAACTGTAATAAATCCAGGGAATGTGACCCTCCCAAACCATCATCGATTCACTTGCTTCGTGAGTTTCATTAAAATTTTTCCTTTCAAATACATGTATTTTACTTATTTAATTTTTCTCCTTCAGTTTAATTAACTTAAATATATGTCGTTTTTTTTTTTACATTTGTTTTGTTTGTTTGTTTTTTCAATTAAGATAAAATCCAAAATCATTTTGATTTGTCCTTCAAAAGAATGAGAAACTTTAATGGTTGTTGTAGAAAAATGTTCAGTCAAGTGCTAAAATTAATTTTATTTCAGGCAATAAAACAAGAAGGGTCTACAATATATATGAGTGATAGCATGAATAGCTGTAACAAAGGCCAGGATGGTAAAGTGAGACAGACAGATGGATCAGGAGTTACTACACTGTTGGTGAATGGTGCGTCATAACATATGATCTTATTTGAATCTTATATAAAATCAGTTTATTAAGTCTGTTGCAATTAAATATATTCTTTTTTATATTTTTGCAGGTTCCTGCTGTGAGTATTGTAGAGGACTTATAAAACTTTTTTGCATTTTAATTAATATTGGGTAAAGATTCATTTGACTAGATAAATAATATGTCAAATAATAATATACATTCGGTTCCTTAAAAAATCAAAGAATACATGCGATTTTTGTGTCCCTGTGTCAAAAATTTAATTATATGTTAAGAGGAGGTAAGATTTACATGTAAAACAAGGTCGCTCAGATTAGAATTATGGATTCAAGTCATTAAGGATATTTTTTACAGTTCCAGCATTAGCAGTGACACAAAAGCTTAAGTTATTCAATCTGAGTCAATTATAATTATAAACTTTGTAAGCAAACGTGTGCAATTAATTATTGACAGTGTTATTGATTCCAGTGTTATTTAGGACACATATTTTAATTTATGTGAAAAAAGACAAGTATACGATCGAAAAGTGTAAAACAAAACCATACTCCCTCTTGAACTTCTTACGTCAAAACTAAAATGTCGCTATCTGTAGAAAGCTTTTCTTATTCAAACATCATGTTGTATATTAATGACAAAATGAAGTATTGAAAATTCTCACTATTTCATAATACAGGAATTTGCATAGCATAGAAATATATGCGTGTCGTTTTGCTCGTAGTCACTTAAATTGTCAGATACCTTGGATGGAATAAACTCAAGCCCGCCCTGTTGACTCGGTAATAAGGTAAACCCGTCTTTCAAGGCATCATGAAGGATGGGTGTGTTGAATGTGATTGCACCCCCTTTCAAAAAAAAAATCGAAAATATTCGTTTTTGAAATTTACTCCAGAATTAACCAGAATCCGCCAAAACAATAGAAATTTGATCGCTCCGGAGAGCAAGTACTCTTTGAAGCCCTACCGTGCACCCCCTTTTCAGAAACTCTGACACTCCAGAAGACAAATTCAGTTTTAAACTACTGTATATATGATACTTGCTGCAGAGTATTTTCTAATTATTGAAGGCGAAATTTTTAGGGTTAACACTCTTCATTTTTGTCTTTTATTTGATATTGATATGTTAATAAAATAACAAAAAAAATCAATCTTAAGATATGATATTAGTACTTGAATAGACTTGTAATAATAGATAATACTTGCGATAAATTCTATGATAAAGAAAAAAAAATCTTTACCACCCTCATTTTCCAAAAAAAAAAAAAAAAAGGAAAAAGAAATTGAGCATGCGTATCTTGTGCATTAAACGTACTTCTTTTTGTAGTGTTCTATAAATTGTTTAGATTTATTTTACATGTGTTTTTGTACTTTGAGAAAATTACTAAGTTAAGAATACTGAGTTGATCTCTCTCGTTTTCAACATAGAGTACACGTCATTTTCCAACAGGAAAAATGTTCAAAGACAATAAAGTACAAGAGAACAGAAATCATTGTTGCTCACCGAAATGATGAAACACATGTAAATAAAGTATTTAGTTACATGTACTCTATCCTGGTCTTACATAATGTAATGCATACATTAATTACAATTTGTGCATTTCGCCATAGATTTCAGTTACTTTAATTTTAAATCAAAAGGCATGTCCTCTAACTGCTTAAAAATACCGTGATATTGGAATTCATCAGGGTGCAGTGCTTAGAGGGTTCTTCAACGTGAGAAAAATGCAAAGCGAATCGATGTTTCAACTTTCTGTGTATTCACAATGTAGTAGTTCATACATGCAGATAATAGTGTAATTCAGATTTGTCCCTGCCGATATTAAAATAAATCATATACAAGCAAATTTACTTTAATGGTGATCAAGAATAAGACCACAAAAGATAGTTCGCAAAGCCGTAAAACATTTAACAATTAGAATATTTTCTCCATAAAATTAGAATATATCTTTAATATACTATGTACATGTATATATGCCTAATGGAAAAAAAAAATTACCATAATGCAACATATGTTGAAATACCATTAAAAATATTCAAAACAGGTATCGTTGATCCATGTTATTTCCTGCTTCAAATCATTATTTCAAATTTTGACCTGCAGAAATTTCATGTACAGACATTTCTAAGATAAAAAGATGTAAAATTTTGTATTTGAAACATTATATAAATACTGCATGTAGTTGATAGGAACTTTGAAAATTTTCACCCCAAGAAAACCATTGTCAACCGACGCGCAGTATTTATTTTATTATACTGAATGTTTTCACAAATAAATATTACAGTATTTACACATGAATTGTCCACGGATATTTCCGTTATTTCCCGATCATGACAAGAAGTACATGGCGGGTGTGACCGGTCGGCAGGGGATGCTTACTCCTCCATGGCACTTAATCCCACCTCTGATGTTTTTGGAGGTCCGTGTTTGCTCTGCTCCCGATTTGTATTGTTTTAATGGACTTTGAGCTTAAATACTGTTCGTTATCTCCATATTTCATCCTTGCGCGCATTAATTTTGCGCAGTCAATATTTTTTGGAATATCACCCATCGTCTAGAAATGACGACTGTTGCTATGCTGGAGGGCGTAACTTCATTATTCAGCGGGTAATAGTGTTTTTTAACAGATGTTTCTCGACGAATCAGATTCAACTAGTTTACTTGAAAGTATAATATTAAATATTAATATTTTTACCTGACTGCACCGCAAGTGAAGCAGGATGGGTACGTGTATAACAATTCATTTAATAATGGAAAGATTTCCGCCAACTCATGTTTCATTGTAAAACTAAAAAAAATTAAAAAACCTAAACAAATAGGTCCTGAAGCACATAGAAATTAAAAACTCTCCCACTTTGTTTATTGAAAATAGAAAAACATTGATTTTCACAACTACATCCAATTACTTGGTCAAGTATGTGAAGTGTCATTCTACAACATCGTCTTTTAAATCCGACGATACAACGATTAATTTATTCTTATTCTAGTCCGACGTATGATTAACTGTTAATGATTTTAATTACAACGCCCGTAGTTTCGGATTATCCTTAATCAGTAAACTTCTCCGTAATCGTAATAAGTCTGTTTAAAAAAGAAAGCGATCAAATCAAATAATGGATTAAGGTGGAACACCTCTACGTGGTGTACTGTAGACTTTACCTGTACAATGAAACAAACAAACAAATATGATTTGATTGTGTGGATTCTCACTTTTGTACATTTTGAAATATTTATAGGTAAGTTTTTTTTCCTTAACTAGAAAGTCAAATACAACTTTGTTTGTTCATATGTGGATAATTGCAGTCCAATGCAACTATGCTTTAATTTTTACTAGAAAATATTATTTCTTAATCATATCGATGTGTATATGTTTTCTAAATATTGAAGAAAAAAGCGAGAAACAAAGACCTCTCTATTTTGATGTCTGCATACATAATCGTAAAATAAAAATATTTGTACTCTTCAAAGAGTGCTTAACATCCTCCTTAATTTTATTGTCATACTTACATACAGCCAAAGTATGTCAAAACGTTTTTCTTCAATTTTAATTCTAGAAACAATGGACAACTTTTGAATTTTTCAAATTGATTTTTTTACAGTCTATGAACTCTGATGTCTAATGAACAGAATCCTATGCAAGGATATAATCTTTGACTTTGATTACTTCTGTTTTCTTTTATACCCAGACATCTCAATGAATATTCCTTTTGATTAAATCAATTATCTATAAAATTGTATCATGCAATAAGCTTTCAAATCGCTCTACAACACATTCAATGATAAATTGATCTTTGGCCATTGAAACCCACAAAAACATTTTGCTTTTAACGATTTTTCTGTCCAAACATTTTTTTGTATTCACCCATCTTTTTACGAATGTGTGCATTGATTTAAAAGAGCTGATAACTTGTCATTCCATACAGTGTGATTGCATGATCTGCAATATTCAGCAACAGGCTAAGAGATCAATGAATACCAGGGTGGAACACCTTTGACAGATATGACTTTTTATGGTCTAGTTCACGACTTAGAATCAGCTCTGTTTTTAATAAAAATACGGGGTTTGTGATAATTTCACATGACATAAAGGAAAATGGGATTAAAAATTGATTTTTACCAGATACCTAGATACTTAAAATTATCAGAAAAACTGAGGCTTTTTAATTCCAGGAGGATTTCAACAATTAAATATACAGCTACCTAACCACCCTCGGGAAAAATAGTTTTAATTTGCTCAGTTATAAATTGGTACTGACTTTCTTCTGTTCAAGCACTGATTTCCTTGACAAACTTTACGACTTGAAACAAGGAAAAATAAAATATATTGATAATATTTTGTTCATAATAAAATAATAGTGGTGATGGTATTTAAATGTAAAAAGGGAAGGCAATGAAATGTGAAGATAACGAAAAGGAATTATGCTTTGAAGTTCAAATAAACAATATGTTTTGTGAGTAGAGGAAACACGAACCTCTGAAAAAAATCATAGGTGGAATTAGGTGCCATAGAGGAGTAAACAACCTTTGTCGACTGGTCAATCCCGCTGTGTGCCCCTTGTCATAATTGTTTAAACGTAGAGATCCGTCCGATCGAATCAACATTCGATCTAACAACAGATTGCATTTGCATCCCTTGAACCCTTTTTACACCTGGAAACAAAAATACTGAATAAAACTTCATGTTTTTCTTCAAGATTTTTAGACTCAAGTTACTGATATTTATTTAATTACATTCTTTAAAGTAATTGAGAGTAATAGATTACATTTGTAAAAATCAATGTAATTGTAATTGCAAATAATTGACAAAATTATCAATGTATTTGAAAGTTTTTAATTACTTTTTCAAGTAATTGACACCAACCTTGCTTGTGTGTAGAATCAAAATGGTTTTAACAAAGTAGGTTTCTAGGTAACCAATGACAAGTAATGAAAACGTGTGAGTTCCATGTTTTACTGAAGAGGCAGACTTAACCACAATATTAAATGGACGCCATTTTTATACTGCAATTCTTGTCGTAGAATAACAGAAGTTTTATCATATGGCTTTATAGAATAATAACTTCAAAGTCAATTTGATTCTATCAACACATTATAGATGAAATATTGGTGAACATGTTAACTTGAATTATCCCTTGATTGTTTTATACTGCTTAATGTCCCTGAATAAATACCGTATAATTCGTCATTTTTATCTCAGTATACTGTCCTCTCTATGCCTGTTACTTATTGTAGACGGATCATGTACTTTCCCGCCTTTATGGGATGGAGAATGGTACGACAGTCTCCATGGTGACATCACATTTGGCAGTTCTCTCAGTAAGGTGACAGGATGGGAATACAACGCCTACAACCAAATAGTGACACCATTCACTTGTCAGTCAGAAAATACCACCAGTAACCAGCTCCTCTTTATGTGAGTTGTAGACATTATGCGTTACATATTCAATATTATTAATGCTTTAGGAAGAATTTTTTTCCTCATAAATATTTTGCGGAAACATTACATGCTTTTGTCACATACAATTTTTAGTATTCTTTTTTCTTTCTTTTTGCTTGCTTTCTATTTTTATGTGTCAATGAAGCAGATCCATGGACCAACTATAAGTACTATATAGTCAAACGAATTGTGTAATTGTGCTATAACCTATTATTGAATCTATTGGAATTGTTTATGTTCTATCAACCTTGTACTGTATTGTATAAGATTAAAACGAATCACATTTTTTACATCATTACTTGTTTTCACATTTGTAATTATTTAAATATTTCATAATTTTAAATTTTTAATGATTTCAGGGGTGACAACAGGATCACTGTATTTACCCGTACCTTTAACGTATTTGTCTGTATCCAATGGGTGAAGATTACAGATTACTCCTACTATTACTACGTAATCGGAGGTTAAGCTTTTTTTTCCTAATAATTTTGACATATGGCTGTACATTTATTGTCATTGCTGTTATTTTGGACATAGTAAACAATAACGTCATAGAATTTCTACTTATTTCAGACGAAGAACCAAATATATCCGGCAAGAGACGGGCAAAAGTGGAGATTGATGACCCCTCTGTAACATCTTTCTCTACGTCAAAATACTGTCAGGCAACTTCCGCTCCAGACTTTGAGGAATATCATGTTCTGGTCAAAAAAGGCAAATTGTGGGTTTTTAGCTCTAATGGTCGGAGACCAAAAGAGCTTATGCGATAGTAAGGAGTCCTTCGACTGTCTGCCTGTCTTCCCGTCTGTCTGGAAACATTTTTTTTTTCAAAATGCTACTCCTCTTACAATTTTTGTATGATTTAAATATAACTTGGCACACAAGTAGACTACACTAAGATACATAATTCTTTTAGCAGTTTCTGATTTCGATGAACGGTGTTGCGATGGTTATTAAAAATAAAAAATTTCTGTGAAATACTTTCAAAATGCTACTCCTCCTACAGTTTTAGTCTGATTTCAATACAACTTGGCACAAATGTAGAATATACTAAGAAGCAAAAAAACTTATGTATCGGTTTTTGATTTCGATGAATTGTGTTGCCATGGTTACTAAAAATAGAAATTTCTGTGAGATATTTTGAACACGCTGCTCCTCTTAAAGTTTTGGTCTGATTTTGATATATCTTGGCATGCAGGTAGACTACACTGAGATACATAAATATCTTTATCTTTTTTTTTTGATGGAAAATATTGCCGTGGTAACTAAAATCGAAATTTCTATAAAATTCTTTAAAAAGTCCACTCCTCCCATAGTTTTGGTCCGATTGCAATCTTGCCACAAAAAGAGACTAAGTCAAGGAACATTATTCTATTTATTGCTGTTGCAAAGTTCCAAGCCCAAGTGCTAATTTTCTCTTCCAACAAACCAGTAGAGCTACAGAATCGATAGAGACTTCTGGTTTTAACATCTAACAAACAACCTCAATAAGAAACACCAATGCTGTTGCTTCCACAGGATATTGCTTTTACTTTTTTTATGATGAAAATAACAAACATGATTTTGAATGATTTTATCTGAGAAAAGTTATAAAAAATTGATTTAATTTTAAACAAGGTATAAGGTATTCATAAGAAACATTATAAAACATTAATTTGACTTTATACAGGGTATGAAGCACTTGTTGTACAGTGGTGCCCTACTCCATTGTTGGGGAGTTTCACATACATTCACAATGATGGCACCACCAGCTCGTGTTCCTCGTCCTCGGAGCTACAAGTTTGTCCCACGTGGACAAGGATGAAGTTTGACTACACAAAGTGTCCCACCAAACAGGCATTTTCTGGTACATGTACATTTTTACCTTTGTCCATTTATTCATTAGTTGATTTATTTTTGTATCCCGCTTCTGCAAAAGCTCAGGGATGCAGTGGGGTTTTCATATTTTTTCACATGTGAATTACCTTAGACAAGACATTTCTGAATATACTATGAAAATTTACCTCCTGAACTCGAATTCACATTTTGATTTTCAAAAAAACTTTTATATAAAACAATAAAATGCTATCTTGATTTAAAGTAAATGCAGAATAACAGTTGCGACATTGCAGAAAAATACATTAACCAGCGTAAGCAATGATAGCAACCATTATCCCCGCATTAACAAAGTAAGACATTTTATTGTTTATATAATGTCTGTATAAATTCTTCGTATAAAGTAGGTGAAAGAACATAATATATTGTATCATTGGTCCGTATATTACATTGATGGAAGAGCCCATTTCTTTCGCATATGGCTTTAAAACACCTGCTGTAACTAGTTTATTGTTTATGGATTAATAACGATAATGGGTTTTACAAGAAGTAAAGGAAAAATAATAAGTGATGTAAATATTGACTGTTACGTTAAATCGGAACATATAACTTCAAAAATATTAAACTTTTAGCATGATGGACAGACAAGACAGTTTAATATGCCATAAATTATTACACCCCAGCAAATAAGACCCCAAAAGAGTCAGACCAGAATTCTCTGAATTTGTTGAATCAAAATACGGATTCAGTTTAATTATTTGAATTACACTTGTATTTCATACAAAGGGTATTTTGATTAAGAATGTATTTTTCCCCCTACTTTATTGGCAAATTCTATAGTCGGTATAATGACCTTGTTTGTAGACACAAGTATTGTTGGGTCGAATTTTAATTGACCAATTGTTAGGCTATTGTTTTTATACTAATTTTGACCACGGATGACCCGTTTAACTGCTCGGGGCGGGTGTGACCGGCCAACACAGGATACTTAATTCCTCCTGCAAATCTGATCCACCACTGGTATTTCCGGGGGTCCATTTATTTTAATGTCCGAGATTTGTATTAATATTGTCACGGCGGGTGTGAAAGGTCAAAAGGAGATATGTACACCTCCTCTATACCTGGTCCCACCTCTGGAATTTCCAGCGGTCCGTGTTTTATGCCAAGTACACAGAATTGTTTTGTTTTAAGTTTTTATGAGATCGATCACTGTTCGTTGTTTTCACCTTTTTTCATTATACAATTTTCAGATTGATTACTTATTGTTAACTTTATTTTCTGTTGTTACTTTTACTCAGTGTTATAAATAAAGGTCTGGTATACTTGTGTTTATTAAATTTCTTAATTTCTATAGATGAAGGCGTGGTGGACTGTGTTCAAACAATAAAGAAGGATGAAACATACTTCACCACCGTTATAAACAATGGGAGTGTTGATTACAACAATTATTACCGATTCAGTTGTCTAGTACGTTTCTCCTTAAGCAATAAAACACCGAAAAAATGTCCACCAAATGTTAATTTAAAGACAATTTAAATCCTATCAATAATTTCAATTTTCTTCTTTGGAAATTTAAATTATTGAAATTATTGATGGTACATTTCTTTTATTCAGGCTATAACAGTCTCTGGAGGTAAAGTATATGTAAGCGATAGTAAAGGTAGCTGTCAGAAAAATCAAACATCCACAAACAAACAGATAGACGGTAGTGGTACACTCGTGCTAACAAAACAAGGTAAGGGCGTCAAAAAATGTAATTTCAAAGAAGTTTTATAATTTAAAAGTCTGTCTCTACCAAATTATTTTATACTAATTTGGTTTTCATTTTATTTTTCAGAGAGTTGCTGTAAGTCATTTTTTTTCTTTACAGTAACATTCTTTCAGATTATTTCCTTTAAATAGCATCAATCATTCTGTTAAATATAATAATTCAAAGAAAATTTGGTACATAACTTATAATATACATGTTCTACGTGACATTATTCAACTGCAGACGGAAACTGCACGTTTCCATCTACATGGGATGCCGGATGGTACGATAGCAGTATGGGTGACATTACTATGAGTAACACCTCCTTAGCCATTACGTCAGGATGGTCTGTGGATGTCCATTCTGTCCCTGTGACGTCCTGGACTTGTGTATCAGAGAACACCACCAATAACATCATGCTTTTCAAGTGAGAGTCAAACCTTGATACAATTTTCACAATCCATAATTTTATCCTTTTTTAATGTCTGAAATATTTCCTTTTTTCCAATACCTTTATCAGGGGAGATCAAGTGGTAGAAGTTTCACCTGGCGTTAAGAAGAATATTTTCAGATGTATCCAAGTGAATGAGATAACAAATGAATCATATTTCTATTATATTAAAAATGGTAAGCATTAACACTTTCAGAATGAATAATACGTAAGCTACTTTTCCGGAGATACAATACAATTAAGATATTGACATGAATTAACACTGGCCTTTGGTCCACAACTTTGTGTCTCGAAAACTTTGACTGATCATAACTTGCAGCTGAGACTAATTATATGTTTACTAAAGAAGCACTGTCTTTTAATGCTGGTCTTTTCCAAAAATCTATAAAATATTTACTTTTAAGGTCTTGTGTACAAGCATAAAAGTCATTTTATTGGTTAAAAGTAAATAAGAACATGCATCTTTAGATTCATTATTTAATACCATTTTGATGCATCTGAGTAAGTTATACATGTATATATTTAATGACACTAGGACGAAAAATACTCCTAATTGCGAGTATGAGAACATTATGTTTGTTTATAGACTTACTGGTGAATTCCAACAATAGCTTAAAGTGTAGTCATTGTTCAATGAAATATGCATCTTTTTTTAGACTTTAACACAGATGCTCAAAGTAAACGTATAGGCGTTGGAAACTACGATCCGTTTGTGACGTCATTTGACGTCAACAGTTTCTGTTCACCTACCTCAGAACCTGGGGTGGAGGAGTACCACATGCTTTTGAAACAAGGTGGCGTATTGCAATTCATTTCTTTTGACACCGAAACATTTCAGTAGATAATTATTTAAATGTGTTAGGACCATTACAGTGACTTTTCAAATCGTCATACTGAGCATAAGTTTATAAATATTTTCACTAGGGGCTGGATCTCAAATACAACAGTGGTGTCCAAATGCATTGTTGGGAAAGTTTTCCTACACTCATGACTCCGGAAGCTCACAGACATGTTCTTCTTCTTCTGAACTTAGCACCTGCTCAGATTGGAGAACAATGAAGTTTGATTACTCTAAATGTGCTACTGTTCAAGCCTTTTCATGTAATTCACCAAATTATTTTTTTTCATTTTGGTCTTATGTGCCAGAATTAAAAGAACATTTCATTTTTTTCCCAGTGTAAACAAGTGTATGTATAAATATTTGTTGCATATCCTTTCAGCGGAAGGACGGGTACACTGTGTAAATACCATCAAATCAGGTTCTATTTATTACACTTCATTATTCAATCCTGGAATAGTCGATGCAACTGTGTTCCACAGATTCACATGCTATGTAAGTTCTAACACACTTAAGTAATTTTTTTCTGAAAAACGACGTATATATTGATATTTGCTTTTATTATTTTAAAAGGCGTTCAGTGTTTCTGCCACTGAAATTCGTGTCTCTGACAGCAGCGGAAGTTGTGAGAGGAATCAGTCGCCTACAACTAAAGCCAGTAACGGATCTGGGACGCTAATTTTAACTCAAAATCGTAAGTGTTAATTTAGAAAAAATATATGGATACGATAGTTTATCATTAATTTTGACCCCAGAATTTCAAGATTGTAGAAAAAATCAATTCTTTAATTATGAAACCTAACATGATGGAGAGAGAAGATTTCTTTAATAATCATGGTGTGTGTCGTATTGGTCTGACTGTTTAAAATTATCACCATGATTGTGAAAAACATGCATCAAGCAAAAAGATAATCAAATATTTAATGATTCACAAGTTTAAATGGTGATCAACGGATTCACAGATATTTTTTTTTCAGAAATATGCTTAATTGTAAGTTTTTAAAAAAGAATTTAATCTGTTATATTTATTGTTTTCAAAACATGATATCATATTCTGATTTATTGTTTATTTCCCTTTTTCAGAAAACTGCTGTAAGTCATATTCTTTAAACTTTCTTTCCATTGATAAATAAACATTTTACTTTTATTCTTAAACTAAAATGCAGTTGAGATGATGTATTCTTCAAAATGTCCAATTACTTCATAAAACATTTTATAATATAATTAATGTTGTACTCTTGTAAACTGTATCTATATGGAAATCAGAAAAGAAAATACAAATATATTTTGTTATACCATTACGATAATGCAATCATATGAAAAAATTAATAGACGGTAGCTGCAATTTCCCATCCACTTGGAATGATAAATGGTATGACAGTGGTTTGGGAGATTTCACCTTCAACCACTCCTCCAACAACCTTAAAGGATGGTCAATGTCAATCCATGGTCAGATGGTCACTTCTTGGACCTGTCAGACACAGGGGAACTCGGATAATCTGCTCCTCTTTAAGTAAGTTGTTTGATTAGTGCTTCTCTTTAAGTAAATTGTTTTATTAAAAATGTAAATTATGGAAAAGGTCTTTCTTTTTAACCAATATAAAAAAAAACTTGGAAAGAAGGAGTTTGTATAATGATAATTAATTTTATTTACCTGATCCCACCTCTGATGTTTGGAGATCCGCGTTTGCTCTGCTCCTATTTTGTATTGTTTAATGGACTTTTGAGCTTGAATACTGTTCGTTATCTCCATATATTTCATTTTGGCTCTTAGCAGATGAAATAGAAATTTTATGTTAATTCTTTGATAGAGCCGACCAGATCATTGAAGTTAGCGGAGTAAAGAAGAATGTATTTCGATGCATCAAGTGGACAAACATCACAGACAATTCCTTCTATTATTATGTCTACAATGGTAAGGACTTATACACATATTATTAAACAAAGTTATTTATATTATATTTAAAATTCGAAATTAGCAATTTTTATTAAATTTAAAAAAGAATGAAATTTAGTATTGATTTATATACATGTACAAATCGTCGATGAAGGTAAGCAGTGTTCGATCAGTATGTAATTTGTTTTAATTTGTATTAGATATTGAAAGTAACGCGGGTATTCAGAGAGTGATTGTAGAAGATCACGATCCATCCATCCAATCCTGGAACATTTCTGATTACTGCAATCCAACTTCCATGCCAATGATAGAGGAATACCATGTAATTGTAAAGGAAGGTAATACAATACCTTCATATCTTAATGTTGCAATCATAAGAATGAAATACACGTTAAATTTGTTTAAACTTTAACTTTACTTTTATTCTCCAGGACAAGAAAACTCCGTCAAACAGTGGTGTCCTATACCACTTCTGGGCAACTTTACCTACATCCATAATGATGGATCAACCACTTCATGTGGATCCTCGTCATCACTCAATGTCTGTCCTACCTGGGATACTCTAACGTTTGACTACACCAAATGCTCAACTGAACAGATTTTCTCGAGTATGCATCTAAATGCCAACTGTGGCGTACATCAAATTAAAAGCATATATTATTCTGTTTGCAAGTTTAGTTAGTGTTATGCTATTAAGAATATGGACTAAAATAATATTTTCAGGAGAAGGAGAGGGTTACTGTGTTCAGACACTGTCGAAAGGAAATACTTTCTTTACCAGTATTCTTAATCCTGGAAACGTCACTAGCGGCAGTCATTATCGGTTTACGTGTCTTGTAAGTGACTTCTATCATGCAAAGGCAAAAATAAAATAAAAAAAAAACTTTACTATGAAAAGAAATTAGCATATGTCATCCTGAATTGACCTTCCTCCGTTTCCATAACAACAGCACCCATTTTGAATGTTGCATGCACAATTACACTGGTGATTATTATTGAAGTTTCATTAAGATAAAAACCATTTAGGACAACTCTTCCAAACAAAAAACAATATGTCCCAGGACTTTATTTTTTGTCCTTACTTTATTTTTTTATTCTACCTGATAGGCAATAACCTTGTCAGGAGCGCAGGTTGTCATAAGTGATAGCCCCGGAAGTTGTGAAGCAGGTCAAACAGCAGCAGTAAAAACCTCTGCTGGAAGTGGTGTACTAACATTAACATTATTAGGTAAGTAACTCACTAGATGTGATCTTTTCATCCATTGTTATAAATTAAAAAAAATAAATATGCAGAATTATGTTCTTTATAATATTTTCTTCTTCTTTTTTAAACCAGCATCGTGTTGTAAGTACAGGCACATATATAGAGAGCGTGCAAAACAGTCTTTTTTTTACGTTTTATTTTTTTTTGGCACCAATCTCTGCTTTCATTTCCATTGGTTTGAAGTGGGGGTACCGCTGCATTGCTGCTTTTGTGTTGTTGTTTGTATTTTATTTACCTCACTCTCTTTTGTTTGTCCTTGTGATTGAATGCTTGTGTGTCCTATTTAGTCTTCTTTTTAAGTATCGTATCATTTCTTAGTAGTCACCTTTATTTTATCCATTTTTCCTGACTTAAGATGGAAACTGTACGTTTCCGTTGGATTGGGTGGCCTCGTGGCACGACAGCAGAACAGGATCGGTTGAATTTGTCAACGATAAGGGAACTGTTTCTTCAGGGTGGTCATTAATGATCGGCAGCAACAATGTCTCTTCATGGACTTGTATGTCAGATGACACCAATAATCAACTTCTACTTTTGAAGTAGGTTTGAATTTTGTATTTTTTTTCTTTGTTTAAATATCGATTTATCATGGATATGATCCAATTAGAGATAACTTATCATGTTTTCCCATTTTTGCTCAATAATAATTGTGTGAAGTGCATTGATAACAATAACTCATTGAAATTCCTCATTTCTTGTAATATAGATCTGACAGCGTAATGGAAATCAATGGAACCAAAATGAATGCTTTTATGTGTATAGACTGGAAGAAAATCACTAGCAACTCCTACAGATACTACATTAGAACAGGTAAAACCTAATCAATTAAACCATGTTAAGCACAATCTGCCTGGTATCTACCGTCTTTCGTTAATTTTATATATAATCAAATAATAATTACAGATGAGAATTCTGATGTCAGCAATGAACGAGTCACAGTAGAAGCCCATGATCCCTCCGTAATACAGTGGAATGTTAACACCTATTGTAACCCAAGCAATGGACCGAAGATTGAACAATTCCACATGATAGTCAAACAAGGTTTTTACTACCAGATGCTCCTCGTTAGACTTCATATCAAAACCTTATATCATAGAAAGAATGCGTTGGATTCATTTTTATCATATCAATGCTATTTGATTGGTCTTTTTGATTTCATTAATATCATAAAATTGATTTGTAGGTCAGGAGACAACAGTAAAACAATGGTGTCCTAACCCTTTGCTGGGAACATTTTTTCACACAATAGACAATGGAACCAATCAGCTGTGTGGAAATGGGTCACGTGTTGATGTATGTGCCACGTGGACTACAATGACGTTTAATTACACTAAGTGCTCTACAGAAGTATTTTCAAGTGAGTACAGTGTAGGTTACTGGCATCATCCAAAGTAAATTATCCTATTATCTTGATATAATACAAATATACTTACTATCAGTATATTTTATTAACAGAGGAAGGAGAGGTATACTGTCTTTTCACAGTAATCAGTGGTACTACATACTATACATCCCTCCTAAATCCTGGTTTCATCGATAACAACAACTACCACAGATTCACTTGTTTAGTAAGTAGATGATAAAATATTAGCTCACATACTTGTTTTGAGACATCAGTACATATTACACGTATTTAGATTTTAAAAAAAATTAAAATAATTTATCTCAGTATGCTTAACTCTCTGTTCTTGAAGGCTATTACATCCGATGTCAATTCGGACAATGTTTACGTAAGCGAGAGTGCCGGGAGTTGTGAACTTGGTCAGCAGTCTACAGTAAAACAGGCTGACGGGAAAGCCAACTACACGTTCACACCTTATTGTACGTTAGCAATGCTGCAGAGTGGGAATATTTTGAAATATTTTATTAATGTACACTTTTGTTCATTTTATCTATTCTGATTTCTTTTCTTTTTAGCCACATGTCGTAAGTATACATTAAAATTTGCTTTAAAAAAGAAATCTCTTTTTTGCTTTTTATCTTTCTTTTGTTGATTTCATGGATAAGTTAAAAAAAATTAGCTAAGAATAATCAAGGAATATTCTTTAAAATTTAAAAGATGGTTCCTGTACATTTCCAATACAATGGGAAAGTGATTGGTACGATTCTGGCAAGGGTTCTGTTGAAATCAATGCTCCTTCGAAGTCTATCTCAACTGGGTGGTCAGTCACAGCTTACTCAAAGACTGTGACGTCATGGACTTGTCATGCAGAAGACACCTCTCAGAATTATTTGTTGTTCAAGTAAGTCATCAGATAGAAGTTGTGTGTGTAAATGATTATGTGCATCAAAGCAAATTTCAAATATTCGTATTCCATGCGGTTGTCGACAATTACATGTTTTATAGGTCGGACCACACAGTTGAAAATGGAGGTACTCAATACAATCTGTTCAGATGCATTAAATGGCGGGAAATAACACCGTATTCTCACTTTTACTATGTGTTAGCAGGTAAAACATGCTAAATTTTTGGTTGTAAAATAATTCTTGAACTTTATATTGTATCTTTATTTTATCAGTTGATGATCAATTTTGTTTGAAAGCATATCTGAGTATTACTCTGCCATATTTCAATCACATCTGAACCATAATAAGATTAAGGATTTTTTTTTTCAAAGTTGACGCGTAACCATATAACTAAAGATTTAAGGCTAGTTACTAATAAAATCAGATTAAATTATTTCTTCAAATATTAACAAAAACAATGATACCACAAGAAAACAGTCCAGATTCCTTTGATGGTGTCTAGAGCTTAAATATTTGTTTCAATGTATTCCTGATGAAATGTCGAAGCTTATTACTCAGAGACTATATACCAAAGTTTACAGAACTGTATTCTATTTTAATAAACTTATTTAAAAGAGGCTTTTGAATTGATCATAAATAGAGAAGAAAGAAATCTCTAACTTTGTAAAGAGCTTTCTATGTTTAGAGAGGCTACTGACAAATAAGTTGATATTACAGGGTTTTTATAAATCTCATGAATTTGAATCAATTTAAAATCCGCATTTTGCAAATTCTATAGTCGATTTTATGACGCTGTTTGCAAATACAATCATTGTTGGGTTATATTTTGACTGACATGTTTTATATCATTTTGCTAGGCCATTTTTACACCAATTTTGCAAAAGGATTACTCTGTTTACCTGATCAGTACAGAGGAGGGCTCACAAAAGGGGAGTGTGTCCCTTCGAAAGGGGATGCTTACTCCTCCTAGGCACCTAATCTCACCTAAGGTGTTTCCAGGGGTTCATATTTTTGCACTGTTCTTGATTTGTACAGGAATGATTAGGTCGATCACTGTTCGTTATCTATACCTTTGTTATTTATGAAAACAAGAATTTTCATTTCGAGGGAAAATTAACATAAAATATAAATGTCATGTGATTAAAAGATATATTAAAATGAATTTGTAGAAACTTTTTCTTATTTCTTAAATTCTACTAAGAATTATTTCTATTGTTCTCTTTCTAAATTTCTTATTTATATTAAACTGCATCATGACATAAATATATCTGAAGTAAAGAGAATAATAGAATTGATTTTGAAGCTGCAAGAAAATGTATTTTTTTTTCTACCAGACGTGAATGCGAATGCCCTGAATGAAAGAGTATATATAGAATTGTACGACCCGTCTGTGACCTCATGGAATACATCAACTTACTGCAACCCAACCTCTTTGCCAAAGCTAGAAGAATATCACGTTATGGTTAAGAAAGGTAAAATTCAATTCGAGATCCTTGCATAGTTTTTGTAACTCTTTTTGTGGTGTTTACTGGTGACGCTATTTGTATATGTAGGTTTTGAGTCTCAGGCAGCCCAGCCCTGCCCTGCTTTATTAATTGGTCGCTTTACCTACACACATGACAGCGGAACGACCCAAACGTGCAGCAGCAGTTCATTGCTGGCTGTCTGTCCAACGTGGAATACCATGACATTTGACTACACGAAATGTCCGACAGAACAAGCTTTCTCAAGTAATTTCTTACTGTATTACTACCTCATGAAAGTTGAATGTAATCTTGCATGCCGATTAACCTTCAATAAAACATTGCAGATACAGCTTTAAAATAAGTATTTTATTTCTTTTAGAGGAAGGAATTGCGAACTGTTTAGTGTATTTAAGTTCTGGGTCTACTGTATTCACTTCGGTCCTGAACCCAGGTGACGTCACAGATAGTCGCCATAGTATATTTACTTGTTACGTAAGTTGACATACGCACTGGGTAGGTTTTTTTTATACTAAGTAGTCAGTTTTAATGCACCTATTACCATGTCACAAGTATAATTTTATTGAAATTAATGTTTTTATTCCGCTGTATTATGCAGGCTTCAACAAGAGCTAATAATACTGTGTATATGAGCGACAATAGAGGGAGCTGCTTTCCCGGACAGTCCCCTAATGTTAAACAGATAGACGGATCTGGAACTCTCAGCATGAATTATCAAGGTACATAAATGTCAAATAATGTAAATAATCTAAAATAATATAAATAAACCAGTTGACCATTTTTCATCGTGTCATTTTCTTCTCCTTTTAGATTCTTGTATTGACAAACCACCTGGCAGTGCTGGTAACTATACATATGTCTTGTTACTGTTTTGTATTGAAGAATTTTGAATTATTTCTTAAATATTCTTATCGAAGCCATATTTCTGACAGTTTTTTTTATGAAAACTAGCGAATAAATTTGTAACAAATATTTGTATTTGCTCTAACAAAATCGTGTATCCTACGGCTTACAGTCAGTTAAAAGTTACGTAAGAATATATTTCTCATCATCACTTATAGCATATTGATCAATGAATATTATTTTGTTCAGACATGTTAAAAATATCAATATCGTATCATTTTGTAATTTCAGGTTATATCTTTAGATATTTAGATATGTGAATTTCCTAGGTAGTTTTACTTGTAAGCGGAAAAATCCATTTAAGGTTTGACAACAAATGTTTTTGTTAATTGAAATTTTGTTCCTGATTTTTATTTTTTAGTTTGATGGTGCCAAATTTTTAGGTTTTTTTGTTAGGTTGATGAATGGTGTCCTAGAGTTGTTGTTGTGTAGTTTTATTAACAGAGGATATTATATATCAAAAATTAAATACAATGGAGAAATAACTAAAGAAAGCACGAAAGAGCAAAGCCTGATGGACCACAATCTGTTTTACAGATGATCTCTGTACTTTACCCACGAGTTGGGATGGCGACTGGTATGACAGTGGTATGGGTGACATATGGATCAGCGCCCGCACCAAAACAGTTACCTCTGGCTGGGATGTGGCCGTTTCAAGAGCTAATCTTACCTCCTGGTCGTGTGTTACAAGCAACGATACGGGATCGTTTTTACTTTTCAAGTACGAAATCATTTTAATAGACGAAAAAATTATTACAACAGTTGATTTTTAATTATCACTGTTAATTAGTTGTCCACATGAAGTGTGGGAGCCGTATATATATAGGAATCTGTCCGTCTGTCGATCTGTCTGTCCGACCGTCTGTTTAAATGTATATACATGAAATGTCTCATTGTGACGCGATAACTCAAACTGTTTTCAATTTAACATTTTCATTTTTTAACAAAAGCATCTTATTACGAGAAGAATACACAATACATTTTGAAATCATCCCTTTTGTATGCTTGTATGTATGTCTGTATGCACTTTTGTTTTTGGCGCGAATACGCAGATTTTTTTTATCGTAGCGTTTTCAAATGTTGTACAGAATTACTTTACTACGAGGATAATATTTCAATAATTCAGAAGTGAAAAAAGAATTAGATAGATTACATGATCAGTACGTACTGGTCCCTGCTGACAAAGCAGGTAACAACATTGTCTTTGTTTGTAAGGCTCATTATAAATTGTATTTTAGAGGAATTGGGATTTAATTCTTCAAGTGGTAATCCAACTTATACCCATAGCTCCCTTTCTAAGGAGGAAATTTTTCAAAATCATATGTCAGTTTTGAATATTTTTAATATTCCCAACAACCAAAATGAATTACCATATCTATATTGGATTCCAAAACTTCATAAAAATCCTTACAAACAAAGATACATAGCGGGTTCCAGTAAATGTTCTACCAAGCTTCTTTCTTTACTCCTCACTAAGATATTAACAGTAGTGAAGGAGAAACTTCAAGAGTACTGTGCAACAATATATTCGAGAAGTGGTGTAAATCAGATGTGGATACTAAAAAATTCCAAGGAACTTTTGGAACATTTGAAAACACAAAATTTTACGAAAATCAACAACATAAAAACTTACGACATTTCAACTTTATATACAACTATTCCCCACGATAAATTAAAATCCAGACTTTCTGACATCGTTGACAGCTGCTTTTTCAATAAAAATGGAACTCGTAAATTTACTTACCTTGTCATTGGTCATTTGCAAAATTACTTTGTTAAAAAACAATCTGATTGTACACATGTACAAGTACTCTGAAGTTGACATTAAAAGATGCTGATTGACAATATCTATGTGGTTTTTGGAGACCAGGTCTTCCAACAATGTATTGGAATTTCTATAGGTACCATTTGCGCCCCGTTATTACCAGACCTATTTTTGTGTTCATATGAAGCAGAATTTGTTCAAAATCTTATACGTGAAAAGAAGAAAACACTTGCTGTGGCCTTCAACTCGACATTTAGATATATCGACGATGTAATGGTTATTTCCATTCATGATATATCCCGGTGAGCTTGAGATAAAAGATACCACAGAGTCTGACATATCTGCTTCATATTTAGATATTTTATTAGAAAAAGACGTTAATGGTAATCTAACAACAAAGCTTTATGATAAACGTGATGACTTTAACTTTTCAATCGTCAACTTCCCTTACCTATGCAGCAATATACCCTTATCACCTGCATACGGGGTTTATATCTCTCAGTTGATTCGATACGCTAGAGCATGCTCTACGTATGAACAATTTCTAAAACAAGGAAAGTTATTGACAAACAAGTTGATGAAACAAGAAAAGCAGTAGTCTCTTTTAAAGTCATCATTTCGTAAGTTATATGGTCGATACAATGACCTTGTCAGAAAATAATTTTTCACTAAGTCAAATGCTGACCGACTGTTTTCATACTGGTTGTTGGGCAGTTATTTACACACTGAATTGTCCGTTGTTTCCCGATCATGACAAGGAGCGCACGGGGTGTGACCGGTCGGCAGGGGATGCTCACTCCTCCATGGCACCTGATCCCACCTCTGATGTCTTAGAGGTCCGTGTTTGCTCTGCTCCTATTTTGTAATGTTAAATGGACTTTTGAGCTCGAGTACTGTTCGTTATCTCCACATATTTCATTTATAATTTTTGGAGTGGTATCACTTTGTCTGACTGCCTGTATCTATGTATGAATGTGTATTGGTCATGACTCATAACAAACGGTTTTTATCACAACTGTTTCAATTTTATAAAGGAGTTGACCATAAGAAAAAGACGCCTATTAATTTTGTAGTGTGTCCACCTGTTTGATTGTCTGTCTGTCATCACTTTTGTATTGACATGATAACTCACATAAAAGTTCTGAACATGTATTAGAGATTTTTCCATGTCACCTTCCTTATGTGGTATATTGTATTTTAAACATTAATGTGTGTGTTGTCACTTTCCTATGACAGCACTAAGCGGGCCCTTTTCTGACTGTTCAGTTTTCTAGTTTTTAAGCAATTATTGGAACCGGAATCATAAAAAACAATATTTTAAACCTTTAATTGATATATTCTATCATTTTAAAGATCAGATCAGCTGGTAGACTATAATGGAACGTTTTACTCAGCATTCCGATGTATACAGTGGACAAAAATCACCGACAGCTCCTACATGTACTATCCTGTGACTGGTATGATTAATCTAACATAGGTTCTTACCTACAAATGTCGTATTACAAAACTAAAAATATATTTTTATATAAATAAAAGAACTGGCTAAAACTTGCTATTTTGTAGATGAAGAACCATTGGCAGCTAATGCAAGGATAAAGCTTGAAGTGTATGATCCTACTAAATTGACATGGAATACCTCGGATTACTGTCACTCTTCCAATCCTACAAACACAGAACAATTTTACGTCATTGTGAAGAAAGGCAAGCTTTGATTTATTACAATCATTGTTTTACTTTAAACTGACAATAGGGTTACATTTGGCATTTAACTTTTTTCAGGAAATGAGAATGAAGCAAAACAGTGGTGCCCTTCACCATTACTTGCTAAGTTCACGTACAAACACGTGACGGATAATGGCACAGAGACCTGTACTGGTGTTTCATCTTTGGATGTGTGCACAAACAGAACAACAATGACTTTTGATTACTCAAAATGTTCCACGACTCAGGCCTTCTCAAGTAAGTATTCTAAGCTGTCGTAATAATAATAATAATAATGTAAATACGATTATTTATTTAAATAAAATTTTAGTTTCTCTTGACTTCATTATCTTCAAAATTCATGGACTATAGGTGAAGGAATACTATATTGTGTAAAGACGTTGATGGTCAATGGAGTATACTACACACTGGTCCTAAATCCTGGTTCTGTTGACAATTTCTTCTATCACAGGTTTACCTGTTTGGTATGTATATAGTTGATACTAAACCTTTGAAAACAATACGTTTATTTTTCAATAATTTTTAAAAGCTTGATAATCTAATCATTTATGTAGGCAACCACAAAAACAGGGGATGTTGTCTATACCAGTGATAGACAATCAATGTGTGCAATGAACCAGTCCTCAGTTACTGTGACTGAGGGTGGCAGTGGTACTCTAGAAATGACACCAACAGGTGCGTTTGGCTACTTTAAAGCACGTTTACAATTGATACACTGTAGAATTCTTTTTAAACATTTCAGTATATTACGCTAAATTTCAAACTTTTCATTTTCTTTTGTAGAAACATGTGGTAAGGATAGACAAACTGTTACTGGTGGTCTACAAACATAAAAAAAACCCTGCAGAATAACGTCTGAGACAACAAAAAAATTGAAAAAAAGAAGATATTAAAAAGATATAATAAAATAACAAATAAAGGATATATATATATATATATATATATATATATATATATATATATATATATATATATATATATTTACATTTCCAATAAATTTCCCCTATAATTCTTAACAAATAAGAATACAGTTCATTTTCTCATGAACTACCATGCATGGGCATGAATATCTCCATTGTTACGTCATAATACCTTACTTGACGTCAAAACTATAGTGCAAACTGTTTTGCTTTAAAAATGACAGTTGAGTGGCGTTATTTGTGGCAAATCATCAGAAAAATAATGTAAATATAAGAAATGAATTTAATTTTTGAAGATTCATGAGGTACATGCACTACAACGCTTCACGCCGGCATATTTATCATGAAGCGCTAACGCGCTTCATGAAATATGCCGGCGTGAAGCGTCGTAGTTCATATCCTCATAAATCTTCAAAAATTAAATTCATTTCTTAAATATATATATATATATCCAAAATTTGAAATAAAGGCTCAGTAATCGGATTACAATATTACACAAATGTAAAAAGAAAACACAAGAATTCTACGTAAAGCTTTAGCGCTTTCATTAAAAATCTTCAGAAGCTTTACATTACAAAAATGTATACAACGGTAACATAGTAACAATGATTATGACGTTAAACTAAGCGGAACGTTTAATGTCTATATTGTGACGTCATAGATAAAATACTGCAATGATGATGAAAAAGTTCGGGAAAATCATAGGTAGTTTATAAGAGACTATTAAGTTTTGGCTTTAGAATACAAATAAAATGTTTTTCTTTTTCCCGTCTCTGGATATCACTGGCACATCTGAGTTTATAAAAAGGGAAAATGTTAAATCGTTTTTTTCCACAAGTTTCCAAGTGTGCACTTAACTGGATTTGTCTATATTTAGGTGTACTGATGTGTTGCTTATGTACACATACACGGGCACGGAGACTGTTGCCAGTTTCACCAATATAATATTCTTTGCATCCAGGACATGTGATGGCGTATATGACATCTTTCGTATCACATGACATGTTGGCATTAACTTTAAATTCACGACCGTTAAAATTATAACTCGTCCCTTCGAGGGACAGTTTTTGTATGTAGTTTTCGTTTGTTCATCCTCTCTAAGTAAGCTATTTAATTCATAAACAATTGAATTGATGTTTTTATTTCTCGGATTGTACGTATCAGCAGTAAACGTCAGCCCAAAAACCTTAAGAGAATACTTTGTTCCCCCCAATTCGCTGACCATAATTATACAGTGTCAAAGTGTACGGACCCTCGATGCGTCACATGTGACTATATTACAGAAGGGACGAGTTATAATTTTAACGGTCGTGAATTTAAAGTTAATGCCAACATGTCATGTGATACGAAAGATGTCATATACGCCATCACATGTCCTGGATGCAAAGAATATTATATTGGTGAAACTGGCAACAGTCTCCGTGCCCGTGTATGTGTACATAAGCAACACATCAGTACACCTGAATATAGACAAATCCAGTTAAGTGCACACTTGGAAACTTGTGGAAAAAAACGATTTAACATTTTCCCTTTTTATAAACTCAGATGTGCCAGTGATATCCAGAGACGGGAAAAAGAAAAACATTTTATTTGTATTCTAAAGCCAAAACTTAATAGTCTCTTATAAACTACCTATGATTTTCCCGAACTTTTTCATCATCATTGCAGTATTTTATCTATGACGTCACAATATAGACATTAAACGTTCCGCTTAGTTTAACGTCATAATCATTGTTACTATGTTACCGTTGTATAATTTTTATAATGTAAAGCTTCTGAAGATTTTTAATGAAAGCGCTAAAGCTTTACGGAGAATTCTTGTGTTTTCTTTCTATATCTGTTATATATATATATATATATATATATATATATATATATATATATATATATATATAATCAAATTCTTTAAGATTTCACGACTCAAACTGATGAGAGCAAACCTGGGGAAGGGGTGGCAACAGGCGCAGTCATTGGAGCTGTCATTGGTATTCTCCTCATTCTACTCATCGCCGCAATAATCGGTTGTATCGTCTTTAGATACATCAAGCACAAAAAAGCAAAAGTTCATAATGACCTTCAAAAGAAAAAACCACTTCCAGAGAGTGATAATGGTAACGTATTCCCTTACAGTAGATACATATTATGACCCACTTTTTCAATTCTACTTGATCATTTGAATAAATAACTCATTATAAAAGGAGAAATACTATGCAACTCTAGATATCAACTGTGAAATTTAATCTTACAAACTCGAAAGTCAAGAAAAATATTCTGAATTAACCAGATTTAAAAAAAATAACTATGTAAGCACTTGAGTTATGTAAGTTTTTGTCTCGTGAAAATCAGTTTTAAAAATGAAAGGATGATATGCTGGCAAATAACATCTGTATAAGATAAGTGAATTATTATATTTGGGGTAACTGAAATATTCAATCTTGTTCAAATGAATAATCAATAAAATCAAAAATTTAAAAACAGAATGATTATCCAATTTGTTAAAGTTTTTTTCCAGCATAAAGTGTGATGGATAACCCAAACTTGAAGAGGTTAAATATCAGTTGTTATTATTGTACGAATTGTCTGAGCGTTATTTTATTTTTTACGGTGCCAGAGTAATCATATTTGGATTCTTTGAGAATTGTGTGCTATTTCATCTTTCAACTGCATTATGTGAAGGAGTATATAAGACTTGTTTACTAAATTATTAAAGAATCATTTCTGCATCTAATGATTTAATCTAATAAACGTTTGAGTATTCTATGTAGTTATTAGAGTTTTTTTAATTTCCAGAAACGCCAAGAGCACTTAATTTGAATGTGGATGATATGAAGAAGAACTTTGCTTTGCCGCCATTGCAACATAATTCAACTCCAGTGGCTAATATCCCCTCAGTAGTTAAACCCCCTGATCATCCTCCTCCGTCACATTTACCCCCGGTCCCAGTCAATACAAGTACACCAACAAAGCAGAAGAAGAAAAAGAAACATAAAAAAGATAAAAAGAACAAAGAAAATGGAGGTCCTCATACGGACCAATCGAGCTGGGATACATCAAAACCGGATGTGATTAGCGGGACTTCCGCTATTGAACTTGAGGAAGACTATGGTGAGGGTAGTTTGTATACGCCTCGTGAATTACCTTCTTTGAGCTATGCTCCAGCAAGTACCTCTTTCATAATTGATCGTGCATTAGCATTAGACAAAGATGATATTCCTGTGCCCACACCACCACAAGCACGATTTTACAAACGTCAATATTAGTATTATTATTTATGTTTTTGTTTTCGGTGCAGATAAAACCTAGTCAGTCTTCCAAAGACGTCATTTGTAGATTAATTTATAACCTTTGTGATTTTTAAAAAACAAATATTTATAACTTAGGAATGAATGCTGATGATAAATAAAGAGTTGAAGAAATTATTTTCTTTACGTTCGTTGTATGTTTTTCTTGTCAGACGAAGCAATAAAAGACATATTAGCTACAGTAGACAGTAAGTAGTGTGCACGCCTGCTTTCGAATTATTTTGTTTTATGCATGACAAAAAAACTATTTACCAACAAACCATATTTGATATAATATTCATTTTGATTCTTTTTCTGTCCTTTTCCAGATTTAACTTATTCTTTACAGGGTTAAAGTCTTACCTGTGCTTTAAGCTTTGGTCCTTTACATTTTCTTTTCTGTACAATATGCAGATCTCTGTCCTTTTATCTCTTTGCTCCTATTTGAAAACAATCCTTGTCATCTATATTTCAACATGTTCTCAACATGCTCAATGATTTCATGTTTTAATTTTTTTTTTTTTTTTTAAAAATCAGTTTTCTCATATCATTCTTGAATAAAGTATTCCTTACATATGTCTTTATTTCTGCATGCCTTAGAAAATTAATATATCCATTTTTATCCTGCATCTTTTAAAACTTGTTTTATTGATATTTCATATACGTGTACGAATATTTGTGTGCTTTTTTCTATAGTTACAGCATTTTATTGACCTTTTCTCAGTTACTCCATAATATCTGCATTATCCGCTTATTTTCTGTGTAAAGTTCAAATCAAAAATTCAGATCTTCATATTTCTTTTCCATTCCTATAATATCATTAGATAGTATGATAACCTTATGCATTGTTTTCAGCTTTTTACATGTTTTGAATAAGGATATTTATCATCCCCACTCCACATTGATTCATCTGATTTGTAAATGTCTATTACAATGTAGCTGGTTTCCAACATACTGAGTACTTTTTATTTCATTGAAGTCTGCTTTTTTGAAGAAAAAAATTATATCCTTGTATAAACAGTTTTGTCGTTTATCATAATATCGGACTGAAGGAGATCTAAATATGAAATGTACAGGACAATGTTTTAACTACGGGTCTCTGTCTGATATTTTTTTCATACAGAACAATATTTGACATGCATTCAGTTTTTATCATTAATATCATACAGTGCAGTGTTTATAAGTAATAGGGATTATTCTTATATTTATAATCTTAATTATTGTCTCACACACACAACACGATTTAAAGACATATACAAATACATGTATGTGTAAATAATAAAATGTATTTCTTTGTTTTGCTATATAAGTATATCAGTTGCAATCGCAGAAATAATTAAATTACATGCTTAGGGGTAATTTTCTGCAATGTTGTCACTACTATGCCCCGTAAACAAAAATAGTAAATTGTTGTTTAAATACGTTTTGTTATAATATACCATGTTATGAGCTATTCGAACAGAGTTTTAACTTTAATGATTTAACTAATTTTGGGTAGATATATGTGCGGAGAGACATGGGAATAACATCATATTGTTCGCAGAAATGAATATAAACCAAATGGTAAATTGATGTAAAGTAAACAAATAGTAAAATAAAGAGACGAAACAATGAATGGTTGAACAACTTTAGGCCTCACACGAGACTGTAGCTCTAACTATAGCTGGATTTAATAATTGTATGGGGAAATATTAGCATAGAGGCACACATGATTTCCGACTTAATTTTCTATTTCAACAAAACATAACATTTAAAAAATTGAAGTGAAAAGGAGCAGCACCTGATAAGGATTTAGGAGAACCAGCAACTTGAAGGATATTCATTCCTTAAAAACATTTTCAACACCATTTTCATAAAGTTGGAATCAAATTATAAATTAATATTTATTAAAGTAATGTATTTTATTGAGGCTTACATTCAAATCAAACAAAACTGTGTGAAATTAAAAAAAAACATTCATATGTATGCAAAATTTTGGTGCCACAGCATTGACGTTTACCAAAATTCAAAAACGTTGTACATTGTATATTATAATTTAGTGTCAATATTTAATTAACATGTGTACAGTTTGGGGTAGGTTGACTAGTCTTTCGAAATAATTTGAGCAATTTTCCTATTTTTTTTAAAAAGGCACATGAATAAGAAATCATTTAAATTCGACAGGAATGCTCAGTCCTCCCTGGCATCTGATCACAGCTCTATTTTATTAGAGGTCCACTTTTGTTCTTTTAACACTTCGTATTGTTTAATTGGACTCTTGAGCATACTTGTTGCTTATCTTCACATTTCATTAAAAGAATTATATATCTTTATATGGTCTATTTATGAGCGCACGTTTACTTCAAAGCAGACATGTAGACGTTTCATTTTTTTTTTTCAAAAAAAAGGAAAGAGAAAATTTATATATTTAAACTAGCGAACAGCAGTTGATTTAATTGCATGAACTAGTATGTCTACGACCTTAGATATAAGATTAATAATTAATTGATATATTTTTAAAGTCTCCTTTAAATTAAGCGGATTTTTTTTAATTTTCTTTCAATAAATAAAGTAAATGAAATTCTATCGTATTTACTTCAGTGTAACTGAAATTCAAGCAAATTTGAATATCATGTGCGGAGATAATAGAAATAACTATATAAACTGAGAAATCTTCTATAATGACAAACGTTTTACATTTCAAATTCCTTTTTTGAGTATATAATTCAAATTTATTTTAGCTCACCCGAGCCAAAGGCTCAAGTGAGTTTTTCTGCTCAAAAATTTTCCGTTTTCTATCGTAGCTGTGGCTATCGACGTTGTAAACTATTAACAATTTCATCTTCTTCTCCCGAACTTCTGGGCCAATTTCAACCAAACTTGACAAGAGTATCCTTGGGTAAAGGGGATTCAATTTTGTTCAAATGAAGGGCCAACCCCTCTTTCAAGGGTTGATAATTAAGAAAAAGTAAAAAAATTGGCTAGGGACATTTAAAAAAATCTTCTCAGGAACCACTGGGTTAGAAAAGATGAAACTTGTGTGAGCACTTCCTGACAAAGTGTAAGTTCAAGTTTGTTCAAATCATGACCCAAGGGCTAGGGTGGGGCATAGTTTTACATGGGTATGTATAGGAAAAATATTCATAAATATTCTTCACAAACACGCAAAGCCTTGATCAGTCATATTTATATGGAAGCTTCCTCAGATAATAGAGATTCAAATTTGTCCAAATCATGGCCCCTGAAGGTAGGGTGGGCCTACAATAGGGATCAACGTTTTCCGTAGGAATATGTAGAAATCTTTAAAAAAATCGTCTGATGAAGAACAGCAAAACCATAATCAGACATATTTATATGTAAGCATTCACATGAAAGATATGGAGATAACGAACAGTATTCAAGCTCAAAGGTCCATTAAACAATACAAAATAGGAGCAGAGCAAACACGGACCTCTAAACATCAGAGGGGGGATCAGGTGCCATGGAGGAGTGAGCATCCCCTGCACAATTAGTATGAAAAACGTCAGTCAGCATTTGACTCAATGATAAATTGTATTTGCTAACAAGGTCATTGTATCGACCATAGAACTTACGAAATGATGACTTTAAACGAGACAGCTGATATTCTTGTTTCATCAACTTATTTGTCAATAATTTACCTCGTTTTAGAAATTGTACATACGTAGAGCATGCTCTTGCGTATCGAATCAACTGAGAGATATAAACCCCGTATGCAGGTGATGAAGGTATATTGCTGCATAAGTAAGGGGAGTTGACGATTGAAAAGATAAAGTCATCACGTTTATCATAAAGCTTGGTTGTTAGATTACCATTAACGTCTTTTTCAAGTAAAATATCCAAATATGAAACAGATGTGTTAGACTCTGTGGTATCTTTTATCTCAAGTTCACCAGGATATATCGTATCGACATAAGAATGGAAATAGCCATTGTTAATTGACAATACGTCGTCGATATATCTAAATGTCGAGTTGAAGGCCACAGCAAGTGTTTTCTTCTTTTCACGTACAAGATTTTGGACAAATTTTGCTTCATATGAATACAAAAAAAGGTCTGCTAATAACGGGGTGCAATTGGTACCCATGGGAATTCCAATAGATTGTTGGAAGACCTTGTCTCCAAAAACCACATAGATATTGTCAATCAGAAACTCAAGCATCTTTTTAATGTCAACTTCAGAGTACTTGTGTGTACAATCAGAATGTTTTTTATCAAAATAATTTTGCAAATGACCAATGACATGGTAAGTATATTTACGAGTTCCATTTTTATTGAAAAAAATCTCCATATATTTCATTCAAATCATGGTGGGGTGGGGCCACTATGGGCAATCGAAGTATTACATGAAAATATATAGAAAGAATCTGTAAAATTCTTCTTCCCAAGAACAGCAAAGGCATGGTTGATCATGATTAATTGGAAGCATCCACAGGTAGTGTATATTCAAGTTAGTTCAAATCATGACCACTAAGGGAAGGGTGGCACCATTGTTACTCAGGTGAGCGTTGTGATCCATTGGCCTCTTGTCCGATAATTGAGTTAATTAGCAAATACGTACACTTTTGTTTGAATTGACTGTGTAATATTATCATCAAATTTTATGCTGTTGAAAGTTGAAATGACCAAATATACTGTCTAAGAAAAAGTAATACTGTAAAAGAAAGCATTTACATAATCAAAGGAACAGGAAATGTAACATCAGAGAAATCTCGCTCGCTTATATTTTTTATATTATTATATTAGTGAATTTAATTTTGATTGACTAAGTGAAGTATAAACCAACTTAAATATTTAGTAATAAACCATAAAGGAACGCTGTCCATGCATTTATTAAAAAAACCATAAAGGAACGCGGTCCATGCATGTTTACATAAGTTGACGTTAACTTTTGAACTTCAAATATTTTTGTACAATGTATTGATGGAACCCAAAGAGGTAAATTTAATTTAATTTCCAAATTTATTTAAATGTGATTTTTATACTTTTTGTTTATTTTTACTTTAAATACATCTATCAGCCTAAATTTATTGTATCAATTTTTCTTGCAGTTGACTGAAGAAGAGAGCTTATTATGAACCCTGGTGCTGATTATGTGGAACAAGAAAATCCCTGCAATACTTTCAATGTTCCTTTAAGCTGCAATCAAGACTGTGATAGTTTGCCATACCTTGTTTAAAAAGTTGTTTTTAAATGTTGTATTTTTCAACTTTTTAAAATTAAATTTATTCGTGTTTGTTGATTTTATGCTAAAAACAGACCTTATCCATATTAAATTGATGAAGGTATCTGAATTCCACCTAATTCCAGAGGGTTTGGATATTTTATCAATACTACTTTATCTAATTTATCTGGTGTATGTCATACTTAATTATTCTTTTTGCAATTCAAGTATATTCTTTTGAAACTTAAATGATTATTTTCCTTTTAAAATCGATTCCATGGGTAGCTTAATAAGTAATACCCCTAAGCTAATTTAAAAATGAGTTTGTATAATATTGCCTCACAGGAAGAACTCTTTTTACATCAGATATCCTTGATAGGTTTATGTGTACAAACTTATTCTTAATAAGTCTGAGATTTGCTATTGTTGGAGTGTCATATTTCACACATGCTGTCTGTCTATAATAAGCTTGGGCATGCCGTTTATTTTCATTGAAGGTTTTGGTCATAAGGATCAAGAATCTCAAATTACACTGAATTAAAGGTAATTTAATCTCTAAAACGTTATTTAACATGTAAACTGTTTCGAGTTAGAACTTTTGTTCAAACACATGAAAGCCTGTACATAATACTTGTTTTGAGATCTCAATTTGAATGAAAATAACGTAGATTTTTACTGTGTAAAAAGTTAGGTCTGAGCATTCTATAATCGTTTGCATTTGCAAGACATTCCAGATCGATAAACACTGTTATTTTCGATTTCGTCAGATTTTTATAGTACGATTTTGTAAAAACGAACTAATTTAGGAATATATTTAAATGAAAAGTATACATACATATATATATATATATATATATATATATATATATATATATATATATATATATATATATATATATATATATATATATATATATATATATATATATATAGACAGAAAGTTCTTTTTGTATTATACATAAAAATGCTTGTATAATTCTTTTATTCAATTGACCTATCAATTACATTATTTACAGTGATAAATTATCATAAGTGAATAGCAAGGGGGAATAAATTCTCTAAGAAGAGTACATTTACCTAAAAGTTCAATAGAACCCTGCAGAGCACCAGAACACTTTTGACCCAGTATTCCAGAATTTCACATATCTGGTTTTAAAAAAAAAACATCTTTGCTCATTACAACTTTGTAGTCTGTTTGCCTCCTAGATGCTCAGGAGCAGAGAAGAAGATTTTCAAATAATTAATTTATGTTCAATGTATAATCAATAGAATCCCACTCTAACACCAGAACCGCTGACCCAAAGACCATTGATTTCAATTTGCATTTTGGAAGAGGCAGCCTTGCTCGTCATAGCCATGCACTTCGTTTGTCTGCTAAATATATAGGGGCAGAGAAGATTTTTAAAAGAATTTATGCATTTTCACTGTATGATCAATCCAGAGCCCCCGACCCTGGCGTCATGTATTTCTCAATGTTTATTACAATCATGCCAACAGTACCGGTATATAATTTTTTTTAAAGATTACATTAATTTTGATGATTTTATTCCCACCTCTCTGGCACCAGGGAGGGGGCATGAAATTCACAATTTCCCTTTACCCATAGACACATGTACTATGTACCAAAATTGGTTGAAATTGATTCAGCATTTCAGAGAAGAAGTTGTAAATGTTCAAATATTAACGTACGACTACGGACGAAAACAGATAGCAATAGGTGGAGTGACTAAGGTGACCTAAAAGATTTAGAGATAAAACTTGTCATATGTTCTGATAATCTCAACCTTAAGGTAGTACACAACACCATTAAAATCTGTTTCAAAGCATATCTTATAACGTGCACCAGAAAAAAGAATAATTTCACTATACTGTGAATTATGAAGATAACGAACAGCATTCAATCTCGAAAGTCCAATGAAACGATACAAATTTGGAGCAGAGCAAACACGGACCTCGGAATTTAGAGGTGGGATCTGGTGCCATGGAGGAGTGAGAATCCCCTGCGGACCAGTCACCACCCACAGTGTGCTCCTTGTCATGATCGTGGGAAAACCGGAAAAATATATATATATAAATAATGGCCTAACAATTTGTACGAAAAACGTCACTCAGCATTTGACTCAATGATAGGTTGTATTTCCTGACAAGGTCATTGTGTCGCCCGCGTGGCGCAGTGGTTAGAGCGTCTGCTCTAGAGTCGCGGCGTAAGGAGCATATCCTTACGTCGCGGGTTCGAATCCCACTGTGGGACGTGGAGACCGGTCCTTCGGATGAGACCGTATAAACCGAGGTCCCGTGTCGCAGTAGGTGCTGGCACGAAAAAGATCCCTCACTGCTCAATGGCCGTAAGTGCCGAGTATAGGACAAAATTTTCAGCTCTCCACCGGCAAGTGGTGGCGTCTCCATATGAGTGAAATATTCTCAGAGGAACGTTAAACAACATACAAACAAACAAACAAAACAAACAAGGTCATTGTATCGACCATAAAACTTGCGAAATGGTGACTTCAAACGAGACTGTTGACATTCTTGTTTCATCAACTTTTTTGTCAATAGCTTGCCTCGTTTTACAAATTGTTCATACTTGGAGCATTCTCTTGCGTATCGAATCAACTGAGAGACATAAACCCCATATGCAGGTGATAAGGGAAGCTGACGAATGAAAAGTTGAAGTAATCACGTTTATCATATAGGTTGTTAGGTTACCATTAACGTCTTTTTCTAGTAAAATATCTAAATATGAAACAGATGTGTCAGACTCTGTAGTATCTTTTATTTCAGGCTCACTGGGATATATCGAGTCGACATATGAATGGAAGTAACTATTGTTAATTGATAATACGTCGTCGATATATCTAAATGTCGAGTTGAAGGCCACAGCAAGTGTTTTCTTCTTCTCATATAGCATTTTTAAAATAAATTCTGCTTCATATGAATGCAAAAATAGGTCTACTAATAACGGGGCGCAATTGGTACCATGGGAATTCCAATAGATTATTGGAAGACCTGATCTCTAAAAACTACATAGATATTGTCAATCAGAAACTCAAGCATCTTTTTAATATCAACTTCAGAAATCTTGTGTGTACAATCAGAATGCTTTTTAACAAAATAATTTTGTAAATGGCGAATGACAAGGAAAGTATATTTACTACGAGTTCCATTTTTTTATTGAAAAAGCAGCTGTCTATTATGTCAAAAATCCTGGACTTCAATTTATCGTGGGGAATGGTTGTATAAAGTGTTGAAAAGTCGTACGTTTTGATGTTATTGATTTTAGTAAAAATTTTGTGATTTCAAATTTTCTAAAAGTTCCTTTGAATTTTAGATATCCACATCTGATTTACACCACTTTTCGAATATATACTGTTGTAAAGTACTCCTGAAGTTTCTCCTTTACTACAGTAAATATTTTAGTGAGGAGTAAAGAAAGAGGCTTGGTAGAACATTAACTGGAACCCGCTATGTATCTTTGTTTGTAAGGATTTTTCCGAAGTTTAGGAATCCAGTAAAGGTATGGTAATTCAAATTCATTTTGATTGTTGGGAATATCAAAAATACCTAAAACGGACATATGATTTTGAAGAATTTCCTCCTTAGAAAGGGAGCTATGGATGTAAGTTGGATTTCTACCAGCAGAATTAAATCCTGGTTCCTCTAAAATACAATTCAGATAATGAGCCTTACAAACAAAGACTATGTTGTTACCAGCTTTGTCAGCTAGGACCATTACATGCCGATCGTGTAATCTGTCTAATTCCTTTTGTACTTCTGAGTTATTAAAGACAGAAGAATAAATAGTTTTCATACAGCCCCTCAGTCGCTTCATGCGAGATTTCAACATCCATCTAATGTTCTTAATCCATTCTGACAAAGTGTCAAGGTCTTTTTTTGTGTTTGGCCCATCGCTTGGCGTAATCTTCCACAGAATTCATATTTATAAAATTATGTCGCCAGTTGAAAGAACGGGTTCCCTAAATTTTGGCCCTTTTAAAATAAGGGATTTAAGGTCCTCATTATTAACTATGTTTACATCACCAGTAATGACGTGTCCAGCAGGACTATAGTTCAAGGGTGAAGAGGAACATGAACACGTAGGAGGATTATGTATGAATTCGATATCTAGGCATTGTAGAGTTTTTTTTATAATTAAAAAGTTTGGAAGCAGTAGTGGATGTATATTTATAAGAAATACAAGGTGTGGACTTCAACTTGAAATATGGTGGAGTACAAGACTGGACCCTTTTGTGATTAAGAAAATTACTAATATCAAATGTGTCGATTCCTTTATTTGCAAATTGAAGTTTAAGGAACAGACGGGCTGTCAATTACCAGCACTGTCAAAAATCAAGGATCTTTGTAAGAAAAGTAATAAGCTGTGACATGTTTTCACCATATTTTGAAGAAAAATTAGAGACATCCTATATAATGGTCATTTGGGATCCTACATTTTGGATCCTGCTTATGCCATCTACATGTCATATGACTGTCTGTAACTTTTGATCAATTTATAGTAAAGGTAACTTTTGATCAATTTATAGTAAAGGTCTGATATTTAGACATATCTATTCTTTTGGTAGAATAAAGGTCAAGGTCATATTAAGAGGTCAAAGGTCAAATATAGTGACGTCATCTACTAAATCTTTGCATTTTTTTGCATTTGATTAATTTAAAATCGCCAAAATATCTGAAACCACTGGTCCAAATTTCCTCATTTTGACATATTTTAATCTGAGTTCCATTTCAATTATTCTGTGGATTTTTTGTAAAAATTGAATCATACATTTTCTTTAAAGAGGACTTAATGTGTGGCATATTTACATGTGAATTTTCAATCCCGGACTATGTATGTTCTATTTTTACATCACATTTTACTCAAATATACCGGTATCAAAATATTTTTCTAAATTTTTATTCAAAATAGTTGCCTTTATAAAAAGCATCACGCAAGTTTGCAATAGATTAATTGGCTATTTTTAAATAATGCACAATCTCTGGTCGGCTGTCTAATTTCACCATCTTCTTACAGGGGTCTGATAGGCCACATTTCAATCTATGTGGCAAAAAATGTA